AAGAAAGACAAGTGAGCAGTCTTCAGATACGCCAAAAGCTGCCCCAGAGAGGCAGGGAATGAGCAGCACCCCCTGCTCATGGGGATGACTGAGCTTTAATTACAGCCAGGGAGATTTTGGCTGCCCAGCAGGGAAAACACTGATGGGAAGGACAGGGAAGCACGGGAATGAATTGCCTGAGGACAGCAGAGGCTCTGTTGTTGGAGGCCTTTAAGAATGGGGTAGACAAGCATCTGTCAGGAAGGCTTTAGACAGAGCTGATCCTGCCCTGAGGCAGGAGATGGTCGGGTTGACCTCCCGAGGCCCCTTTCCAGCACTGTTTTTTATTATCTCCACTGACAGCACCCCCTGCCTTGACCTTTGGTATGCTGCTTCTTGAGTCTTCTTTCCAGCAGAGAGAGAGGGGGCACAGAAAACGCGTTTTTTAAAGTAGAGCCAGGATTTACACCTGTCATGTGATGTTCTTTTTAAAAGCCCTGAGAGTTTCTCCTTAAAACCTCAATAACTCACAATGTTAGGGTACATGAAGGCTGTTTTGTGTACTCCAAACACGCTCTCAAAGCTCTTCCTAACAAGATCTAGACCTCGACATCTAAAGGCTAATGGGATGCAAATCACAGTTGCTTCATGAATCATCAAATCAGAAATGTTTTGGGTTGGAAAGGGATCTTAAAGGTCATCCAGTTCCATCCCTGCCATGGGCAGGGACACCTTCCACTATCCCAGGTCGCTCCAATGCCCTGTCCAACCTGGCCTGGGACACTTCCAGGGATCCAGGGGCAGCCACAGCTTCTGTGGGCACCCTGTGCCAGGGTCTTCCTACCCTCTGAATAAAGAATGTCTTCCAAGCATCTCACCTAAATGTCTGTTTTTCAGTTTAAAATTGTTCCCCCTTATCCTAAAAGTGTCTGTACTTGTACAGAAATAAAGTAGATGAGACCATGGCCTCAGGAGCTGGGTAGCACCAGCTATGTGGGGCAGTATTTGCACCGAGGTTAACACAATAAAACGCAAATGTTATAATTCTGAATCCCACATACCAGACCACTTTAAGCTTCTTTTGATCCTGAACCTGGCAAGCCTGTTTTGAATGGTCCTCATTGGATGACTCTCAAGTTAAGAACACTTGTGATGTCTCCATTGACTTTAAGTTTTCTTTGAGGGTCTTTTTTTCAACGCACAATAAGCAGCCAAAAGGAGACCAAGTCCCTGCAGGGATGAGGAAAAAAAAAGAGCACCAGATCCTCTCCTTGCACCCCTGCAGGTGTTTTGGGCACCAGTGTGAAATGGAAAAACTCTTTGACTTCTGCTTTTTGTGCTCTGCCCCTTTTCAGTCTCCCACATCCCTGCTTCCGTGCCAGGCTTCAGTAGGGAAACATCATATTGATTGTGATGCAGGCAATTAAATGGTGTTAATGAAGTTCAAACAAGTGTTATCATAAGCTTGGCAGCATGGAGAGAAATGAAAGGTCAGCCACAGCCCTTTGTCATTTTTCAGTGTGGTGTTGAATGCTAATGAGACAGTCCCAATTAGAACAGGCTCCCCTTTGTATTGCTTGGGGATTGCATCAAATGCTCCCAAGTTCTCCAGATTTCCAGGCTCAAAGGGGACATTTGAAGTAAACTTGAAAAGATGCAGATCTGAAGCTGCTCTAATGTAAATTCAGCAGAGCCTATGGAGTTTTACTAACTGAAGTCAGATGAGATTCTGCTCCACCGTTGCCATTCTTTCCCTCTTCTTATTTTTTTTTCAGTAGACTCATATAATGGTAATTGAAAAGCCTCCACTTTGTTTTAGAACTACAGCCTGGCTCTTCGTGGCTTCAACAAAAGCCAAATAGCCTGTCCCAATTTCCTGGGTTAATTGTGCTGCCTCATCAGGCCTCGTGCTCTGCAGCAGGAAATCCAAGATGTGGCTGCACCGCGACACTTTTGTGCCACGTTTCCAACTCTGGGTGTCTCATTTTAACACTGAACCTGTTTTTCCCCAAAAGCCAGAATTTCTCAGCTGGATTGCTTCACTGGGCAGAATCCACCTCTGCTTCCAATAATATTATAAAAGGACTATCATAAAATCACAGAATAGTTTGGGTTGGAAGGGACATCTGGAGGTCATCTATTCCAACCCCCCTGCAATGAGCAGGGAACATCTTCAACTAAATTTAAGTGATGCACAATAATTTTTTTGTTGCTGTTGTCAGCAAATCCATTATCTTGAATAATTATAGAAATGGGCACTAAAACAACCAGCCTCTCAAAATGTCATGGAAGATGTCAGTTTCTTATATAGTTTTCCATTAAGTCTCCAGGAAATTGCAAAAATTGGTAAATTTTAAAATTTTTTAGTTAGTCATTGTCATGCATCCAAATTCTGAAGGCATTTGACCCATCACAAACAAGTAACTGAAAATATGAAGAAAAAAAGAGAAAATTCTATGCTAAACATGAGCTAAACAAACAAATAAACCAGTGAGGATTCTGAAAGTCTTGCTGTTGAAATCTTTTGGAATCAGATTTCCAGTTGACCACCTTGTGGAGGTAGACCACTGGTGAAGCCAGCGGCTGTAACTATTCCCCTCCCAATGCACATTCCCAGGTGGAAAACAAATATTTGAAGGATTGGAGGGAAGTCCTTTCATCCCTGCTTCTTTCTCATGCTCTGAGTTTGTGAGTCCTAAAGGCTCCACACCAAGAAACCAGAGGTTTCTAAGGGATGGCTTGGAGTAACCCAGCTCAACTCCATTCCCAGACATCTAAATCCAGAGTGTTTTAATCCAGAGGGACTCAAGCTGGGTACAAACTACCACTGATTAATTACCCTCTTATTGTTTCCTCTTCATCAAATAAATTAATTTGATTTCAGGTTCTTCTGATTTACTCAACCATTTCTTAAACTCCCTGACTTTTTATCTCCTGATTTACTCTTTGAAGAAGTCTAGTGGTCTTGAAGGATGCCATCTCCAGCTGATGCTGACTACAGAAATAGCTCCAACCAGCACCAGAAGCCTTTGGATCTGGATAAACTCCCTCAAAGCACAATCGCAGTACGGAGAGAAAAAATTCATTAGCTCGGGGTAGAACTCAAATTATATTTTATTCATCCCTGATAGGTTTTTTCTTTCATCTCCCACAGCATCCAGGTGCCACTGCCTTGAGTCAGTGGAACTGACACACAAAAATAAAAGCAGGGAAGAAGCTCTAACTGTATTCCAAAACCTGCAGTCTCCCCTTGGGCTTCAGTTCAGGTTGTCAGACATCAGTGCAGATAACAACCCAGCACATGCTGGGGACAGGAATCCAGGGCTGTTTACAAGCAGCAGGAGGTGTTATGTACCTCTTTTGCAAACCCAGTTGTTTGGGAAAACTTCCAAGGAAATGCAGCACCTATTGCTGAAGATCTCTGGGCACCATGATTTAGCTCCAAAAAAGTTGTAAAGTGAAATCAATACTGGAAAAAAAACAAACTGGAAACTGCAGCCTTTTGTTTATACAGAGGGGGAAAAAAAAAAAAAAAAGGTGTTTGTTGCACAAGGAAATATCCCATTTTCCACTTAAATACCTCAGTTTGTCACTCAAATGTAGCATCTCCCTGGACAAAATCAATCAGTTTGAGATGGAAAACATTATTTGTCCATGCAAACCACCCAACCACACCAAGTGTTGCTAAAATCACTAGAGAATGGCACCTTTGGGTCACTGTTGGTACAAACTTGATTTCTAAATGGAGCCTCCAACACTTGGTTCCCGTTATCCAGGTCAATCCAGCAATCAGCCTCAATACATACTAAGAAACTTGGACACGGTACCAAAAGTAGGTCATAATTAAGCAAGGTAGCTCATAAGAGCCTTGCAGGTTGCCTAGAAACGACATTTGCTGAAGTGTTTAACCACATCTAAAAATAATTGTCCAGACAAATCACAGACCAATGGGAGAATGGCTGGAAAAATCTCTGCCTCGTGCCGAGCAGGGGACAGAGCTCTTTGATCAGCCACACTCCTGTCACGAAATGAGAGAAAATCATCCCCAGCAATGGCAATACAGGGGTTTATAGCACAGTGTGAGGTGTCTGCAGCAGCAGAGGCCTTGTACAACCTGCAGGACATGGTATCAGTTTTAGGCCATGCCTGGGAAGTTATCCAGAAAAATCATTGCTGAACGCTGGATGCAGTGCACAGGAATGATCTGTAGGATAAACCTGCCTTTGTATTTACAGAGCAGCAACCAGTCCCCATCTGTGCAGCTCCCAAACCTGTCAATAACGCCAGGCAAGCGCAGAATATTGGAAAGCAAAGCACAGCTCCTGCTGGATGAAGAACAGGATGTGCTGTTTGTTTGTCCTGGGGGAAACCCTTCAGAAACTGAAGCCCCAACAGGCTGCAGGAATAGATGTTTTGGTTGTATTCTCTGTGGAGCAGCTTTGCCAGACACTGACCCTTGGTGCAGCAGATTGAAGTGCAGACACAGGTCTTGGAAGTGAGGACAAAATGCTTGGAAAGACCTCTGACCTGACAGAAAATACCTGCAGAGCTTCAGTCAGCAGCCAGTCAGTGGTGTGGCATCTCACTCAAAGCACAGAAGAGCCTCCAAGGGAAGTTGCTGGGGGATAATTATGAATCCCTTGGGAGGCAGGCAGTGTGGGGACTGTCACAATGGTGCTGAGAGCAGCAAACCACCTCAGGCCTGTGTAAGAATCCCGTATGCTTCCCAGGGCTCACACACATCACCTCCCCTTCCTTCCTCCCTCTGCTGCTTCCCAAGAGTTTCTCCTCAAAACAAAGATGGCAAACACCTTCAGCTCCCACCATTAATCAAATTTCCATCTCTGCTGCAAGACATGAGGGAATAAAAGGTTAAGGTGGACATTTCCACTTAGCAAAAGCCAAAGACAAAAAAGCCCCAGGGGCATTTTCCAAAAGCAACATCGATGCTGCCTCCTACCTCCACCCACAAATTAGGGCCTGGTTGTGTCACTCGGTGTCATTCCATAGCTAAAACTCACCTTTCCACCCAGTTCTTGTAGCTGGGGATGTCCTTGGCGTAGAGGAGCTTGTTGGAGGGGGAGTCTTTGCCCAGCCGGTGCTCTGAGGTGGAGCAGGAGTCCATGAAGGTCTGAGCCACCACGGACAGGCAGGCGTCTGTGATGCTGTTTTTGTGGATGTCGAAGACGAACTGTGGGTTCTTGATCATGTTAACCCAGAAGCGCAAGGGGAGGCTGCAGGAGGGGTGGGAGAGGGGACACAGTCAGTGCACAGCTCACAGGATTTGCTGTGTGACATCTCAGCAGCAAACGGCGGCTGGGAGTCAGAGATCGCAGTGTGGATATGAAGATTCTGGGATAAACTTTGCTGTGCAATGAATTCCTCCCCTAAAAAGTCTAGGGATGGTAGGGATGTCACCTTTTATCCCTGGTATCCTCACAGGGCAGATTTTTGAGTCTTAAAGTCAATACAGGCTTGTTGAAGGTGCCTGTAAATTAATGGGAGTGTAGTTTAGGTGATGACAAACACTCTGAATCTGTGATAAAATGAAACGGAAAGTTCACCCTGTTGTGGTTCCTCCATCAGATGAAGACAGCATTGAACCTGTCACAAAAATTATTATGGTGTGGGTTATAAAACATTGGAACAGGCTGCCCAGAGAAGCTGTGGCTGCCCCTGGATCCCTGGAAGTGTCCAAGAACAGCTTGGACAGGGCTTGGAGCAGCCTGGGATGGTGGAAGTTGTCCCTGCCCATGGCAGGGGGTGGCACTGGATGAGTTTAAGGTCCCTTCCATCCCAGACCGTTCTGTGATTCCATACATTTGTCATTGAAGGACGTGGCTTTTAATCCTGACAGCAATCCCATGGGAAGAGAGGTAGGTAGAGCTGCCAGGTGGAGACTGGGAATGCTCATGGCACACCCTGTGTGTTAGGACACCGTGTCCTGTCACTCTCCACTGCTCCAGCCCAAGCCTGCACATGATCCCAGTGCCCCAAGCAGGAAGCAGTTGCTACATGACAGGGAAAGCTCTGTTGCCTCAAGGAAAAAATAAAAAAATAAAAAAAAAGGAACTGGGAAACAAGTATCACAGCCTTTGATATGAAAATATATCTGCCCTAACCAAGGAAATGCTATTCCAGTTGCAACCCAAAGCCCTTTCCCCCCTTTTTCTCCAAAAAGCAGCTCATTTGTATGAGATGCCTCGAGGTACCTTGTATGAGATACCTCCAGCCTTTGCCTCAAGCCTTTCTGTCAGGGCAAATGCACTGCAGTGATCGTGGCCCAGGAGCTGGGATGTGCCACTGAGCACAGAGCCCAGCTCCTGGCTCGCTCTCACGCAGATTGTGAAGTTTACCTTCACTCTCAGCATCTTTCAGCTTAGCAAATTCTCCTGAAACTCAGGATAAACTCCCCAGTTCCTCCCATTTGCTCACTGTGTTCACAACACTGTACAAAATTCATCTCCCAGCCTGATAGATTTTGGGTAATAACCTTCCTGACACAGGGGTTGACACCGTGTTTTCCTAAACCTCTGTGTGTTCTCCTGAGCCAACAAAATCACAGAGCAAATGTAAGGAAAGCCCCACATAGGGAATCCTGTCGGAATGTAGTCCAGGGATGGGGCAGCCACAGCTTCTCTGGACAGTCTGTGCCAGGGCCTTGAGGAAGAATAAATAAAAAATGGCAATGAGACATGATGGAGTTGTGGGAATTTAGGCTGGGAATGGAGAATCATCACTGGGAGGGGATGAGGTGGAAGAGTGAACCTTGCAGAAGTCCTTGTGCAGGTGTTTGGATGACAGACAAAGCCATGGTGAGGAGCAGAGTGTGCCTGGGTGTGAGGAGGGGATTCGGGACGATGTCCCTGGCTGGTAATAATGAAGCCCTGTGATGTGACATTGAGTTAATTTGATCTGATTGTACAGATTTCTTCACACTGCCCTTTTCCCCACAAACACACACACACACACTCTGCCTTCCCCCCTCCCCCCTTAAATAAACCTCTTGCTCATTTAGGCTGAGTGGCTGCAATCAGCCTTAGATTAGTGCCGCAGATAATGTTAATAATATGCTAATGTTTCATTAGTTGAAAGCCTCTTTGGTGCATGGGGTTTCTTTTTTTATGTCACCGGCGCTGTGACGATCTGCCAACAGCAGGGCTGGGAAAAGGAAAAAAATGCATGAGCTGGGAGCCCCATGGCTCTCCTCTGCTGCTCCTTTTATAGTCCCTGTGTTTGCACAGGAGAAGGGGAGGGAGCCATTCCCCAGGGAGCTCTTTCCAACGGGGAGACTCGGCAGAGAGGAGGCTTTTCTCCACAGATCCCGGCTTTTCCCACTGTCCCATTGCAGGGATGAGGAGGAGCTGGCAGCTGGAGCTGGGGCTGATGTCGCACTTTGGCACTGATGTCACTCTTTGGCACTGATGTCACCCTTTGTTACTCACTCCAGAGAAGACTCACATCCAGCTCCAGAACCTTTAAATGTTTTTTACCATTGGAGATGCTCTCCTGGCCTCCAGCTGCCACCCAGGAGGGGATAAGTCTCTTGTGGGTGCTTCACATCCTCTGAGGATGTCTTGGATACCTTAAAATTCTCAGCTGGCATGAGGCACCTCTGTGTGGGCAAATAAATAGAGCTGGGAATTGAAACACCCAGAGCAGATGAAGCCAGTGGTGTTGAATACTCTCCCATGGCTCCCTAGATATTTCTGTGTGATCCTGGGCACTGCAGCAATTAAAAACTTCATTTTTCCTCATCAAATCCTTCACAAATCGTGCCATTTCCACGCAATACTGGGCAAACTGGCACCTGTTCAGCAAAAGCGCTCCATCCCTGACAAAATCCTTTGAATTTTGGGATTTTCTGACTTCTCCATTGACTTGGCAAGATGGAGCCTCATCCTTTGAGCCCCACACCAGGCTCCTCAGCTCCCCCAGCAGCCAGATCCCAAAGACACTTCCCTCTGCTCTCATTCCAGCCCAGCAGCTGCTGCTGGGTTGTCTCCACTCACCAGTTGCTCTTCCAGGTGTGCCTCACGTGGGGGTCGTGGATGTTGTGCTTGTCTGCCTGCTCATCCAGGAAATCAAACATGTACTTGATGGCCAGGGGCAGGGCACTGCCACGGTGAGCGGTGCTGAAAATGGTCTCAAAGAGATCATCCACGAATTTCTGGAGAGTGCCCTGGTGGGGGGAAAGGGAAAAGGAAAAGGAAAAGGAAAAGGAAAAGGAAAAGGAAAAGGAAAAGGAAAAGGAAAAGGAAAAGGAAAAGGAAAAGGAAAAGGAGTTGGTTAAGCAGGAATATTTATCATCACAAGAACCATTACACCTCTTTTCCACACAGATTCCTCTCTCTGCATCCCATCCTCAATGCTTTAGTGCATCCATGAGACAAAACCCAGCCATTTTCCAGGCTGGCTTCTACCCAGAGCCACCTTTTAAGCTGGGAAGAGAAGTCAGCTGGATGTAGAGCACAGCAGAAGGTGTCATGGAGACAAAAAGGACAAGAGAACCTAGAGAGTGGGTGGTTAATATGTGACCAGTGTCCTAATTAACACAAACTTCATTCCCAAGAGGCCTTCTCATCTTTTATTCCCCACTGGCAGGAGAATCCCAGATCCAGGGCTTGGAGAGTCACCTTTGTGAGGACAGTTGACTTTTAGCAGGAAGGAGAGGAGCTGGGTGACCAGGCTTGGAGAAGGGGACAGCTGAGGAGTTCTAGGCTGGGTTTGGGGTGGGACCAGGCAGGGCACGTTTTCTCTGTCACCAGAGCTTCACAGGCATTTATGTGTAGACAAACCACACAGCTGCTAAAATAACCAAAAATCAATTGAATCTCCAACAAACATTCCCTGATATGAAAAATTTCCTTTCCTCCAAGATAAAACTCTGCCCTTTCTTCAAAGACCTAGGGAAGAAATGTCTCCTTTCTAGAAATAAAGCTCCAGGTTCCACCAGAGTGGCTCAAGTTTACCTAGAGCTAACAAACACTTAATTAGAAATCTGGTGTCTCTGGATCATTCACCACTTGATTTATTCTTCGGGAAACAGACAGAGGCACCTTTTTCTTGTGTGAGCTCCTGAGGGGTGAACAAAGCCCTGCAGCACATGTCTGACTCAGAAAGGGCTCCAGAGGGGAAATCCTCTTGGTCTGACATGGAAGAGCTGCCCTCAGGTTCAGTTCCTGGAGGGAATTAGTTCTCTACATGCTCACCCTCACAAACGCCACAAAAACCTCGGAGGCTTTTAGGGAAGAGGCTCTTAGGTATCAGAGGTCAGGAATTTACTAGAATAAAAATCATTGTCAGTTTAACAAAATATTCCTGGGGATTGTATTACAGCAACTGTTCTCTCTCTTTCCCTCCCTCAAACGGTCACAATGAGAAAAGAAAATTGCTCAGCCCAAGAGGGGAAACAATAAAACCCCAACCTTCCTACTCTTTCTGTTGCTGTGCAGGTTTTGCAGCTGCTTTTCTGTCATCTCAACAAAAACTATCACAAAAACCAAAAAAAAAGCAACCATAAACCAACAAAAAAAACAACCCAAGTGAGTTTGTGACCCAGAACAGTGGTGGCATAGGGGCCGAATCCCCAGACGTCATAAATCAGCACCAGCCCAAAGCTTGCTGGTCTACACCAGCTGGGGCCTGAGCCCTGGGGAGAAACACTTTCCTTTTTCAACATTTTTCACACGTTGTGTGATCCATAAAAGCCTCCTGATGCCAGGGAATGGGGCATGGACCAGGGGCTAAAGACAAAGGTGCCTTTCCTCCAAATCCCTCTGCAGCTCAGTGAGGCTGCAGGAAGAGCCAGACATCAGAGGCAAAATGAGCTGAGCAATAAAAGAGCAGGTAAATCTGGAAATTAGGACTTAAACGAGTGATGGAAATGTGTCTGATGGGTAAACTCGAGCAGCATTTGCGTGAGCACATGGAATTGTGCTTGTGCCTATTAATACCCTGACAAAAAGTGAAAAAAGTCTAAGTTATTGATGTGTTTGGAGACTCAGGTCAGGATGTCCCTGCTCTGCCTCCACTTGATTTAATCTGTATTTTCTCTCTGTGCATGCTGAGTTTTCATGTCTCACTGTAAGGTCAATGTAACCCTTTCCATGTCATCACCACAAGAGCCCAGGGGAAATGTGGAGAAGGATTTGTACCACAAAACCCAGGATTTGGTGGTATAGGAGCCATTTCAGACTGTGAGGCTTGACACATCTTTGGAACCTGCTCTGAGCACCTGCCCTGGCTCTTCACTTGCTCAACTTTGGTACAAATTACAAACCAGTATAATGGACAACTCCAGCACCTCCTGCTGTGCTTTTTCCACCAATCTCACGGCCCTGGATTGTTACTCCTTGCTGCTTTTCCAGTGTCTCTTTCATGACTCTGCTTTCAAAGCTCAGGCTCCTTCCCTACGTGCTTGGAACTTTCCTCTTGCTCTATTTTCCTTCTGTTCTTCTCTTTTTACCCAACCTTGGCATCCTTTGAGTGTCCTCTCATTTCTTGCTGGCAAGAAATTCCACACCGCACTCTCAAAGCCCCTGCCCCCCGCCCCCACTACGTACCTTGGTGGCCAGTAACCTGGTCAGGTAGATCTCAGAAACCATCTTGCTGCCTCGATCACCCTCTTTTTGGTCTCCATGCTCATGGTTCTTGACCAGGTGCCACATCTTGACGCCGCTCTCCAGGTCGGGGGTGATCATGGGGGTGCGCGAGCGGAGGCTGTCGGGGCTGCCCGTGTAGCGGATCATGTTTTCTGCAGAGACACATATCCAGGGGTCTCCACGTGTCTCAGTAGCTCTTGGGATTGGGATTTTCAGGAATTATGCTGGTGACGTGCCACCAAATGCATTTTTCAAAGCATTGTCTGCGTGACTGGCTCAGCGAAGACAAGCGATGTCACCAAGCCAGGTGTGATGTCAGTGTCTACACCATTAAATTAAGTCAGGTTCAAACACTGATTTCCAGTTTTAATCTTTAATCTTTACCCCCTATCATTTTCCCTGGCGAGTGGCACTGTCAGTGTCAGACACTTCCCAGGACTGGTTCAGGGGGTAGCACCAGTTCCTTAAGTGACTGGCTTTCCCATATTTTTATCCATGCCATGCCATGTTGCTTGGCATAAAAATATTGGTGTCTCTAATATGATCTGTTCTTTAGCTCCTCATCCCCAGATTTAGAAGGAGCTGCCTCTCCTTAGCATCAAAAAACCCAAACAATTCCTGCCCAGCCATCCTCCTCACTCCCTGCTCCAAAATCTTGTTTTGACAGAAATCACCCCAAACCCCAGGTGGACATCACAAATTTCCTCTCCAAGAACACTTTTAGCCTCCATATTTTACCTCTCTTTGTCTCTGAGTGATGGTACAAGGCATTCCCCTCTCCCTGACCTTCTAGCAATGTTGCCTTTTCCAACCATAATTATCAGAAGTGTTGCACCTTTCTGCAGCAAGATCTGAATCAGCCTCATTTATGCATTACCAATCTCTACATATTAATTATCAGATGGAATATCCTTTTTCTCTCTGGATGCTGTTTTCTTAATTGCAATTAACAATCACTTTTTGACCCACCAGATCATCTCCTCCCCCTGCCTCCTTCCCTATTCCCTCCTCCTGAAAAATCAAATGGCAAAAGAATTAGAGAAATTCAACAGAAATTAACCCCCCTCAAGTCTTCCTTTCCAAAGGTCACTGTGTCTTTCAGTAATTGCAACAACAAGGCAAAGAGGATGAATATTAATAAGGCCTCATGGATCGTTTATGTCCTTGGAGAAAGTGGAAGGGGGCACCTCTGGACATTGAGAAACTGCATTTTCCCTTAGGATAAAGGGGGTAAGAAGGACTGGAGATGCTTTCATCAGTTACAAATATGAATAAAGTGATATAACAGCAGCATTCAGGTTGGAGGGGGGTTTGCAGCACTCTGGTTGTGTATTAGGGATGTTTTGCTTTGCTGTCCAGCAGCACCTTAGTGAGACACGGGCTGGATGCAGTTCTAGCGCAGGGGAGCAAGGGGTGAGAGGGGCTGGGTGACACTCAGGAGGTCCCACCTGGTGTCCCTTTCACAGCTGTCTCATGGGGACAGCGAGAACAACTGCTCTGGGATCTGCTGATAAAGACCTCAAGCCCTAAGAGTGACATTTGGTGATCTAAGAGTGGGGCAGTTAATTATACACACTCCTCCTTTCATTAATGAGGGAGGAGAACTTCCCAGGAGCACCCCAACCACTTGGATCAACAGTCTGAACAAGATGCCAGAGCTTTTAGATGGCTAAATCCTCCCCTCCTGCCTCATTTCACCAACTAATCATCTGCCCGTCATTCTCCATGCTGGTGCTCAGAGTCTGGTGACCACTGTGACGTTTGGGATCTCTTCCCAGTGCTCTCCCAGTCCACCCCAGCACACAAACCCTTACCATACTTGCTGGCTGATGTCCGGGACACCGTGGAGTTGTTGACTGCGTTGTAGGCAGTGACTTGCTTGGATACCAAAGCTACCACAGATCCATCTGGGACCTGCAGGAAAAAACAGGACTCAGTCAATAAACTTCTGAAAAGTGGCTGAGGACTGTACCCAGGGCAGCAGGAGCTGCAAATCATTGTCTCTGTAGGTAGGGCAGAGCTTCAAATTCAAAGTTTCAATTTCTTTCTTCGTTGAGTTGGTCTAGTAATAAAAAGGGACAAAATCTGCTGTTACACAGCCAGAATCCTGCACTTGGACAAAGGGACAATTGGTGACAAACAGATTCTGCTCCATTCGGGCCCTGATTCAAAGCCCAGTGACGACAATGTGAGTCACGGAGCCATTTAGGTTGGAAAAGGCCTTTAAGATCATGGAGTTCAACCATTAACTCAGCACCACTGTGTTCACCACTAAGCCATGTCCCCAAGGGCCACATCCAGAGGCCTTTTAAACACTTCCAGGGGTGGTTTTTGCATTAACCTCAGTAAATCTGACAATAGGTTCATCCCAAGGAAGCTCCTAGGCAGAGCAGGAGCATGAGAATAATAAAATCATCTGAGCTGCTTCAAACAGGCTTGGCTGTCCCATTAGGATGATAAAAGTGATGTGAAATGTTCCTTTCCTTCCTCCTGGATTGCAGGTGATATCCAGGTGTCTGGGTCAAAAATTCCTGTCTACGTTTTCCACTATGATCCTGTCAACCTCTCACCCTTCCATGTGACAAATGCACTGCTGGACTGGAGGGATTGCCACAACTTCTTTCTCTCTGGGGTGTCAGAGGGTCTCAGATGTGGAAAAGCAGCAGGTTTGGAGTGGCTGATGTCCAGGATATTGTGGGACAATGTTTTGAGGGATCACAGGACTTTTTTAAAGGAGCCAGACTTTCCATTTCTACAACAATGCCAATCATGTGGGTCCCATATCAGAAATGCTAACAAGCCCATGGCTCAAAAGAGCCATATCAGGAACATCTGTGATAAATAAGACATCATAAAGAGGAGATGGGTAAAAAAAATCCCTTCTAACGACATCTAACTCTTGTCTGTGTCATAATAATAATAATAATTAGCACTTGCATGGAGTTTTTCATCTTCAAAGCACTGCAGAGGCTAATTAAATAGCCCCTCAGCTATCACGGAAGGCAATTATTGGCTCTTTGTAGTTTTAGCCCCACACCACAGATGGGGAAACTGAGGCAAAGGCAATCTCAGTGTCTGTCCCAGCATGCTCCATGTCAGCCTTCAGGACAGCCAGGAAAATGATGTTTCCTGAGGACCTGGCCCAGCTCATCATACAGCTGGGAGCTCATTGCCTGAAGCAAAGGAAAATGGAAAAAGCACAGAGGGAGGAAAATTATTCAGCTCAGATCTTAAGTGACAAGAGAAAATAATCTTGTTATGAAACAGAGGCTGCTGAGGTGTGATGGAGGAAATGACAAAATCGTCAGCATCGGATTAAACTTAATGAGGTCTCTTTTTTTGGTGTTTTTTTCCAAGGGAAAAGACTCTGACCAAAACTCTGGGTTTTTTTGTTAAATCTGCTGCTTGTGTAAGACATTTTCAGACTTCTCTAACTCTCTCTTGTGGATTTCCAAGTCGTGCAGGGATGAAGGGAGGTAGAACAGGTCACCTGGACCGGGTTAAGGATCAAAAAGAAGAGTTTCTTGTAATAACAACACCACTGCTCTCGTGCTCTCCAGCCATGCTGTTTTCCACTTCCCTTTTCCAGTCACTAAGCCTCCCTCTTTCCATTTTTCTCTCTTCCATCCTTCTGAACTCTACTTGCATTAAAAGACCATGGATACATTGGAAAAAGGGGCATGGAAGGCCTTGGATTTGTTTGTCTACGTGAGAAATGTTAGTTTGTGTTGTCCTCATCTCCTTTTCACCACCTCCACTCACCAGGGGTGTCCCTTGAGAGACAAAGACTTTTTTCCTACCCTTGGCTTCCTCTCTAGAGTTGTTCAGGATAACTGGGACAAGGACAGGAGGGATGTGCTCAACATGGAGGTTCTGCCCAGTTATTGCCCACTCAACCACTCTTTACCTCTGCATCTTAGGATAATAAAAATCACAGAATTATTAAGGTTGGAAAAAAATCTTTAAGATCATCAAGCCCAACCTTTCACCCAACACTGCCAAAGTCACTAACCGACGTCCCCAAGTGCCACATCTACAAGTTTTTGAACACTTCCAGGAGTGCTGGTTCCACCACCCGCCCTGGGCAAGAGAATAACATTTTGCTGTTCATTTTGTCAGGAGGAAGATCTAACTCCTACCCACCCTCTCCCACAGATACCTGGTAGTGTGCCAGCGTGTTGAGTCTCTTCCAGTCGTTCTCTATCTTGGTGGTGATGTCCTCATCCTGAAGGATCATCCTGGCCCCGCTTGCCTGCCGCCACTCTGCAAGGAGAACAGGGACAAATGACACAGGTGTCGCCTTTTCCCCAGCCTGGAAATTAAAATAATTTCAGTAAGGAGGTGATAGAAGAGAGGATCTTTATTTGAAGGCCTTCAGGGGCAGCTGTGGAAAGATGTCCACAAAAACCCACCTCTCCCAGCGGAGAGCAGGTTTTTATAGGTTTTAGGAATTGATAAAATTCCTAAAAAATTGATAAAAAGCACCAGTTAGGAGGACAAGTGGTGATGAAATTTCCTGCAGGCCAGACTCCTTCCCTGGAGTCCCCCTCAGCCCTAACTGTACTTTGTCCATGAGAATGTGTCTCAAAGAGTTGTTCTCAACCTTGGCTCCCAGCAATAACCAAAATGGGGCTCTGCATCTCCTGGGGCTCTGGAATTTGTTTTGTCTTTCTGCCTAGGGAAAGGCCATGGAAAATTACTGGGAAAACTAGCCATTAATACAATAGGCTACAGAGCTACCAATATTTCTGTGAAGAATACAGGGCACATAGGAAATAAAAACAAAAACCAAACAGCATGGCAGGGACAGAGCCCTGCATTCCCTGTGCCCAGAATCCACGTGGACACACCTGTGTGGGCACATCACTCATCACCTCAACACCCTGGTTATTCACAGTGCTTAATTTTAATTTAGTCACAGCTCTGCTCCTGCTCCAACATGGCCGGTCCCAAAAACAGCCTGTCCTTGCCTGTGTTTGTCATCCCCATAGGACAGGAGAAAATGCCACTTGTTCCAGGGAGAGAAATCCTGGTCCCCTCTCCTCTGGCAGCACAGACAGAGCCTTCACAGTGCCTGAGATCCGTGTCCCTGTCAGGACCCAGCCCAGAGAGGGCTCCCCTGGGCACAGCAGTGTCTGCTTGAGCACAGAACCTGTGCTGTGCTCAGTTCATGCCCATCAATACTCCCAAAATGCTTCTTGCATCTCGAATCCACCGATGGGCAGCAGGAAGTCCTTAGGTACAGGCATAGCAATGTCCACAGGTTTTTGATTTTTATATATTTTTCATATGTTCGTAGCTCTGTTGACTACTGTTCCACAGTTATGTAGCTCCTAGGAGTTTTCCTGCCCTTCCTCTTAGATTTTAAAATTATAATCTAAGCTTCTAACACATTCCTGAAATACTGTTTAGTCTTATTTTCAGGAAGAGGACTTACAAGGAAAACATTTTGTTTTCCAGTCAGAATCTGAGAAGACACAACAAGAAATGGGTCAAAGAAGCCCTGAACCAACTCCAGTGGGGCAGTACCCAGGGGTAATTTACCTAACCAGCTGCTCTTCTAATTGGACATTGTTTGTTAGATATGTTAAACCTATAAAAACTTATATAAAGTTATAAAACTTGTAGAAAGGCAATAGCCATGGGTGTACCCATGACCACTGGGACACCTGGAAGCTTCGAAAAAACTAATTTTACTATTAATTTATAATAATTTAATTTTACTATTTCAACACCTGCAGGAGTTTTTCTCTTTTGATATTAGGCAACAATAGCAGAGGCACAAGGGTGAGGAAAAGCCACGGACAGCTCCAACCTCTGCTCCGTGGAAGATGTAAATTTTACAAGCCTTCAGCAGCTGCCTGTGGGCAGAAGGGCTCCTGCTCCTGCCACTTCTCCAGCCTCCACCCTGGAATGATGGATTCCTGCAGCACTGGAGCAGCCCCTCGCTTCCCAGGTGCCAGGTTTTGCTCAAACCTTGAGGAACACTCCATAAAATGACAGAATCGTCAAGATTTGAAAAGACTTCCAGGATCGTGGAGTCTTGAAGAGGGTTGCCACAGCTTTCCCAAAAAAGGACTCAGACTTGCCTAAAGCAAGGAGAACATAAACATGGCCAAAAGGAGAGAAATTCCCCCTCAGGGAAAGCTGTGCCTTCATCATGGGCAACCTGGACCATTCAAAGCTCTCCTCTTGGTTGTCACATTTCAGTCACAGTGACCCAACCAAATACAGCTTAGCCAGAGCAGCAGCAAAAAGTCCATTCATTTGCAGGACTTAATTGAAATGAACTCTTGGATATGGAGGCATCACCTGCCACCCTTGCTTGTTTTTCCTAATATAAAAATGCAAGGACCATTGCAAATTTCTTTTGGTTTCAGCACTTTTCTTATCACATAATTAAAATGCAGTGGGAAAGCTGCACTTGCCTTTATTATTCATTTAAATTAGCAGGAAGAGGTCAGCAACTGTGTTTATTGCTGGGTGTTACTTTGGCTGGAGATACTCAGGTTGAGCAAAGGTTGTGTTGGCTGAGCACTGATCCTGAACTGCCCTTCATCTACTCCAGCTCCTCAGATCCCCACCTACATCACCCTTGTGGAGTCTGAGGATGATGCTCTGTGCTCATTCCCACCTGGATCTAACATTCCTGCGATCTAACTGGTCCCAGGCTCTGCTTAGAGGAGCAAAAAAATGCTGAAATCTGGGCTGGGATGGGAAATGGGGCTGTTAGAAAGTGCCCCACTCAATGCCAAAGGCAATTCTGCTGTCACAGGGTGTTTCTTGTGTGCCTTCCTCACGTGGTCATGGGGACAGTGTCACTTTCATGGCTCTACATGTTCCTGTGGTGCTTTTCTCCCCTGGTTCACCTTTGGAGAGACACACACTCGTGTTTTGGGAGGGATGCACAAGTTCTTGGTGTTGCACTGGGCTCTGATTTGGGGGTGAGCACAGCTTTCCTCATTCTGGGCTTTATTTGTATTCCAGGGCTGGACAAGGTGCTCAGAGCAGATTTCCCTCTGCTGCAGGGACACCCTGAGATGTTTCCTCAACCCTTTTGTGCAGAGACTCAGGGGATTCCTGAGCCTTTTCCTTGGCCTTCCTGCAGGGAGGGGCAGTATGAGGAGGAGTCAAGGCCAGTCTCCCTACACAAGACAAGGAAGAAAACCTCCAGGGCAGGCTTAGAGTTTCCATTTTCAGTTTTGCAGCCTAATTTCCCTGCCCAAACACAAATCACATCACCTCTGAGCACAAATACTTCATTGAGCACCAGAGCCATGACAGGGAAAGGACCCCCAGGTGTCCCCAACTCTTCCTGGCCTCACTGCTCCCCTTTTCTGTGTGCTCAGGGGGTCACAGACAAATCTGCAAGGAAATGGGAAGGGAAAAGGTGACCCTGCCATCCATCTTCACAGCATTAAGTGAACCCTGTCAGCTCTGTCCTCGCTGGCAGCACCCTGTCCCCTCTCTGCTGGGATCTGAGCACTCCTCGGAGCCAGCACAAAGGACAGACACACTCCAATCCAATTTGTTACACTTCCACCTTCCAGAGAGAGGGAGGAGAGGGGGAGGGAGGTAAAAATCCCATTAACTTTATCAAGCTTTCCAATCAGGAGCAGTGGTAAATGCAAACTCAGGAGACAGCTGCTGTGAAGCCTTTATATTTCATTCAGCAGATAGTGTATCTTTTTATTGCACACAGGAATTACTTCTTCTTCCCTTTTTTTTTTTTTGTTTTTTTTTTTTTAAGAAACAACCTTTCTGTTCAACTTGACTGAGGAAAAGGAAATTCCAGGGGCCTTTGACAATGAGGTGCTTCTTTGAGCTGCAGCAATGCCTGGATAGGGAGTGACTCTGTGGGGACAGGGAAGATGGGGAGATGCCACCTTGCACCTCAAATCCTATAGAAAATGTTAGACCTCCCTCATGCCTTCCCTCTGATCCAGGTCTAGGAAGAGAGGAGAAGCTCAGTTCTATTTCTGGGGTGGAGAAAGCACCAACATGGCTGGGAATTAAAGTTTATCTCAGAACATGGAGCTGAAGAATGCCAGAGAAATATTTCATGCCGTGTGGAGTGAATCAGAGAATCACAGACTGGGTTGGGTTGGATCTTAAAGATCACCCAGCTCCACCCCTGCCATGGGCAGAGACACCTTCCACCATCCCAGGCTGCTCCAAGTCCTGTCCATCCTGGCCTTGGACACTTCCAGGGATCCAGGGGCAGCCACAGCTTCTCTGGGCAACCTCCACCAGGGCCTCCCCACCCTCTAAGTAAAGAATTTCTTTCTCAAAATCTAATCCAAAAACTCCCCTTCTTTTAGTTTAAAACCATTTTCCTTTCCCCTGACGTTCCATGCCCTTGCCCAAAGTCCCTCTCCAGCTCTCTTGGAGTGTCTTTAGGCACTGGAAGGTGCACTAAAATCTCTCTGGAGTCTCTTTTTCTCTAGGCTGGGCACCCCGAGCTCTCCCAGCCTGTCTTCAGGAGAGATAAATGCAAGCTGTCTTACTTTCTATAAAGTTAGACCCAGTTTAAATGTTTCTGGTTTAAATGAACCCCACATCCCAGCTCTGCAGGGCTGGTGAGGCGGTGAAATCTCACCTGACAGGATCCACAGTGAGCCTGAGACAGCATCACTGAGAGCAAGCCAAGCCAGCAGCTCCCACCACCTCAGCACTCCCTTCCAAAAAGCATCTGGAACCCAGGGAAAGGCAAATGCCTCAGCATGAAGCCACATTCCTGTTTTGCAGTCTTCACACCTTAATATTTTCCCAAAGATGGGGTGTTTCACGTGTTGGAGAGATCTTTTAAAAATGATAATAACAAAAAGAGAAAGAAGCCTTTACTCAGAGGGCTGCAATCTGGGGGTTCGGACTAAAACCTAACCTCAGGGTGTCCAAAATAAAGGTTTTCAGCTGACAGCCTCCTCCAGGAGTTGCCTGGGCGACTGCCAACCATTGTGACATTTGCCACACTCACAAGTCCCTCTGCCTGCAGCAACCCTGCATTTAACAGCTCAAAACAACTCATTAGCTTGTTTGCTTTCTGCCCTGCCAGCAATCTGGCATGAGTGTGGACAGAGAGCCCAGAAAATGGTGATGGGAGCAGGAAAGGATGCTGCTGTTTGAAAGCCACGGGTTTCCAGGCCAGATTGCAGCCATCTGCTCTGCCCCACTCTGCTCCAGCCCCTCTGCAGCCCTGAGCATCCAGCTCGGGGCAGGCTGATCCTCAGAGCTCTGTGATGATTCTGGAGGGCCAGCAGCACTTTCTGCTCTCCCCTTGCTGCCTTCAGTGTCTCTGAAAGGTGCCAGGTGCCAACCAGCATCGTTTCCTTGTGGAAAAGCTGGGATGGAGCTGTGGATGGGTGTGTGGATCCTCCTGTTCCTGTTTCACCCACACCAGCCCTGCTCCTCCAGCCTTGTTATCTGCGTTGTTTCACTCCTACTGGATGAGGGGTTTTTATTTGTGTTTTAATTGGTTTTTTCCCTGCCTCATCAGTGCTCCTGGACAGAGCTGCCCATTAGCCAGTCTGTTCTCACTGTGGGCAAGCCTGTCCTCTGAGGGGTGCACATGCTCATAGCAACTTTCTGGAACTTTCTGCTCCTCAGCACCAATCAGGAGGTCATAGAATCACAGACTGGGTTGGATGGGAAGGGATCTGAAAGTTCCAACCCCTTTCTATGGACAGCATCCACCAGACTGATGCCTTGGGAAGTCTGACCTAGAACAGAGGCTGGACACAGTTAATAAAGTAGGCATTTATTGAAAAGGCCTTAAAGCATTTTTACACCTTGGGGAGTACAGGAGCCTGGCCAGGGCTACACCCAAGATGGACCTAAAAATGGTCACAAAATGGACAACTGGTCATGAGGTCTCACATTTTCATAAGTTTTGGTCCATCTGCATGTCAGGGTTAATTGTCCAATCACAGCTTCAGGTCACAAAGTCCCATCCTTTCTGTTTTCTCTCTTCAGTCCATCATTGTTTATGCTTTGGCCTGAAATTTGTAACTTATTGTCCTTGGAATCATGAAAAAGAACTGTTTTGTCTACCTACTCTGTGAAGAGAGCTCTCTAACACTTGATATGAAACTCAAAACTACACACCTAGGGAAAAACATGAAAGCTAAAACTCAAAGCATCAAGACCAGGTTGCTTCAAGCCCTGTCCAGTCTGGTCTTGAACAGATCAGTATTTCTTAAAACAGCAGCAATTCTGGAGGCAGAATTGTCAGGCTCCAGCTGGGACCTCCACACACTTCTGGCTCTCAGAACTACAGCAGAATCAAATTAATCCCTGTATTTACAATATGCAGGTGAAATTCCTGCATCTCATTATGGACGCCTCCTTCATCCTCACAGCAGAACAAACACTTCTCACTCTGACATCTGAGGGAACCGGGCTCTGTGGCCACCGTGGAGCACCAGACAGGTTGGGAGATGTGGCTGTGAGCCCCATTCCTCTGGTCTGGCACCTTGCCCTGCCTTTCCTCACACTCACCCCACCTCTCACCCCTCCCCTGCTGACTCACAGCAGCTCCAGAGCCCTCGTGGGTCTTTTCTGGTTGATGTACGTGATCTGTTCTTTACTACTGCTGGTTTTGGCAGCTTGTTTCGTTATTCTAAGTGTCTTTGATGAGCAATTTCTGTCAGGAACTCCTCCCTCCCCTACACATACACATACTCAGACACTTAACTTTAGTCCCTGACCTCTCATTCCTGCCTTCATTATTGCTGTGAATTGTTTCTTGGCCTCAGTCCATTCCTTCTCCTTTTGGTTCCTCTACAGCTCAGCTGGTTTTATAGACTCCATCATTTTCCAGCCCAGTCTCTTTCACTGAAGGTCACTGAGAGCAAATTCTGGCAGATTCAGCCACAGTGGAGTCCCCAGCCTTCCACCAGACACCTCAACAATGTCCTGAGCAGATTTTTCTGCATTTTTTCATAGTATCCTCCAGGTGTGGCCCCACACCTGCCTGTGGAGCCCAAATTCAGACACACACTCCTCCCAGCATCCTCACTCCAGGTGGTTTTTTTCCAGGGGTCTTTGGCAAGAGAACGAGGACAGTCCCACTCATGCTTTTTCCAAACCCTTGTCCAGGATGAATTCTGAGGGCAGAAAAGCAGGGTACTGCTCTTTTAAAGTGCTCAGGGCCAAAGATTTCCTAAGCCAGGAGCTTAAACATCACCATGATGTCCCCTCTGCCCTGTCACTGTGATTTCTCTGCCTTGCAGGGGGTGTGGAGATGGGTCCCTGCCCCAGCAAAGTGTCTGGATGGAGTTTCCCATCTCCCACCTCCCCTTGCCACCCTGGCCAGGAGCAATCTCCTACCCAGGTCCATGTCAGCAGCTTTGGGCCGGTGGGAGCAGGGCACGTTCTTGAAGATGGCATCGAGGATCTTCTCCTTGACCTGCGTGATGGTGTCGCAGTTGAGGATCTTCACCGGGATCTCGGGGCTGTTCACGTTGTCGGGGTTCACACAGCTCAGCACCTGAGAGAGAGGCACCACAACACACATTTCAGTGGCACTGAAAGCCTCTGACTGCCCCCCCTGCAGTGCCTGATCCCTAAAGAGGGATCTGGGGTGCAGAAAATGGGTACCAAGGGTATTCCCTGCCTCACTTGGGCACAGAGATGTGGTTTCACATGGGGAATCTTCATTATATTTAATCATGGAGTCTCAGAAGGGTTTGGGTTGGAAGGGACCTCAGTGATCACCTCATTCCACCCCTGCAATGGGCAGGGACACCTTCCACCATCCCAGGCTGCTCCAAGCCCCATCCATCCTGGGCTTGGACACTCACAGGGATCCAGGGACAGCCACAGCTTCTCTGGGCAACCTGTGCCAGGGCCTCATCACCCTCACAGGGAAGAATTTCTTTCTTAACAGCAGAAAACCCATAAACACCAGCTGATATTTTGGTGCTTTCAGTAAAAAGTGTTCTTTGAGACGTCAAGGTGACCTAATTCAGGAAATTCAGGAGTGGCCTCCTTGCATTGCCACCTGGTTCTGATAGTCCCAGTGAAAAGCTTTGAGTTTGTCCATCTGCACAGCCATGGAACTGAGCAGACCCTTCTCAAAGGAACATTATTAATCAAATGCAGGGCTTCTTAAAAAAAAAAATGAAACACAAACCAACATCAACAACCTTTGCTTTCACATACAGAAGAAGAAAATCAGCTGGGGAGGCCTCTCTTTTCTCAGAAGGAAAATTTAATTTTCTCCACTCTGTTCAAGAGTAAATGCAAAGCATGTGTTGAGGTGGGATACCTTAAACACAGAGTATTTAACAGCAATCTCCCTGGTAGCCCTTGGCTGTGTCTCTGTTGACCATTCTGCTCATTTCTGGTTGCACAAGTCTATAAATTTTTATAAACTTAGCACACCTTTGCACTTGAAAGGGGTGTTCAGTGATGCTCCAAGCTGCACATGGTCATTAAATGCTCCTCTGGCACTTTTACAAGTGCAGATATGTTGGTTTCGATGCCTTAGACAAATTTTAACTTGACTTAAACTCCCTTCTGTAGCCTGCAAGAGGTGCTGGACTTTTCCATCTCTTTCCATCTTCACCTCCTAAAATGTAGTGGGAACTCAGAAATGGGGTGAAATCCTGTCAGTCTAATTACACACTGCCTCACCAGGCTCCCTTTGGTGATGTTATGCTCGGCTGAGAGGGACTTGTGAAGATATTGCTTACAAAGAGCTCTGTGATCTTGCTGGATGAAAGGGGAGATGTAAATAGGAGATATTGATTAGATCATAATGCTATTATTTGTATGTCACTTCCAGAAGAATTGAAAAAGCATCAATTCAGATCGTAATAACGGCGCTGATTTACAGTTCTGGGGCATCTTTCATCTCAAAGGATCACAGAATTGTACACAAAAGGTGCTGTTGAAATGAATCCAGTGTTGAAGGCCATCAGGTGGTGTTGCCCTCCACAGCTCTCCTGGGTTATGCCCATTGCCAGCCCACAGAAACCTCTTCCTCTGCAAACTTCTTGGCTACATCCAGAAAATCCCACTTGATTGCTGAGAGCCTGCACTGGTTTTTGGTTTATGTTTGGACTTAATGATCTTAAAGATGTTTTCTGGGCTAAATTATTCTATCACACCCCTGTAGGGAAATGGAGCAGTGATGGCAGCGTGGGACAGCTCTTTGGGGTCACACCTGCTTCTGGGGACCAAGTTATTCCTCAGGTTTCTCTCTCAGTGGTCTGAGCTCAGTGTCAGGGGAAGCTCTGTGGTGTGATAAATCTCCGATACAAATAGCTGGATTTTGGGTCAGTGCCCCACAGAGGGCACTGGGTGTTTTTTAAAATGATCTGAGCTGCCCTGCCAGGCCAGCATCTGGTGCAGAAGACCCAACATCTCCTGCAGGTGCTGACCAGTGTTCCCCACTGGAAGGTGACAATGGTGATTTGCTCTTGGCCATCCTTGAATTTCACAGGGTGAAAATTCAAAAACATTCCAATTCAAAAAAAGGCCAGCTTTAGAAGGTGCCAGGAAAACTCTTCCTGAGTGGACTGCACTCATTCACACCCTGACTACAGTAACCCTTGCTTTCCTCTTTTCCAGCTCAGCTGCAAGAGGAGCAGGGAAGGCAATTTTTCAAAGGGCTGTTCTTGTGTTTCAAGCACAGATGAGGCAGTTGCTCACCCCTGAAAACCCCTAAATTCCTCTTTGGTCATTACAATGACTGTCAAGGATCTCCCAACAACATTTTAGGGAATTCAAACACCAATTATGGAAGCCAACCCCCTGCCCAGAGCACGGTGGCTTTGGCACATATTCCCCAGGTTAATCTTCTTTCCAGTGGAGTTTTCCAGATGTTGTCACGTGGAACATGAAACTTTTCTCCACACTCATAACAACCAAGCCAGAAACAAATCCCACTTTTCCAGCAGCGCTGCTCAGAGATTTCAACACGATCTCTGATGTCAGCTGGTGGGGAAGAGGCCCCATGGTGGCCTGGGTTGTGTTCCTTCAGGACTGGTCACTCTGAGGGGAGTTTTGCGATGTGGATCTCCTAAATGCAGTGTTGCTGCTCCATCACCAACCACCTTCATCTGGGCTTCAGGGTCACTCAAGGATGTGCCTGTTTGGGCACTGAGAGGACACCAGCACTTGCTGTCACTCACTGAGGTTTGTGTCCCATCAGGATGAGGAATGGGAGCACACGGAGAAGTTACCTCCGAGCCCTGCTCTCCCACTGACACTGTGTGACCTTGAGACATCTCATTTCTCTGGATTTGTGTTTATTGACCTTTTACTCTGTCCTTGGGCATTTTTTTTTCTCTGCCAGCTCTTCCAGCCATGAGCTGTCTCGGAGTGCCTGTATACAAGCAAAGCTTGGCTCAGCTAAGCCCTGATTTCCACTACAGATTAGTGACATTTAAATAATAAAGGCAGAGTTTGTGATTACTCACATGGTGACCCTGGTTCTGAGTTTGAGTGGTTTTTCCTGAGACCAGAACATCTCTGCAGTTCCTGTCCCAGGGACAGAAATCATTCTCTTGCTTCTTTATTAGGCTGGGGTTTTCATACAGTGAGGTTTGGTGGAGAAAAAGGAGGAAGACCCGAAAAAAGCCAAGCATATGAAAGGATTCTGAGAATTATAGAATTGTAGAATGGTTTGGGTTGGAAAGAACCTTAAAAATCATCTCATTCCAACCCCCTGCTGTGGGCAAGGACACCTCCCACCATCCCAGGCTGCTCCAAGACCTGTCCAACCTGGCCTTGGGCACTTCCAGGGATCCAGGGGCAGCCACAGCCTCTGTGGGCACCCTGTGCCAGGGCCTCCCCACCCTCACAGGATAGAATTTCTTTCTAATTTCTAATCTAAACATACTCTCTTTCAGTTTGAAGTCATTCCCTCTTGTCTTGTCACTCCAGGCCTCTGTAAATAATCTCTCTCCATATTTCTGTTGGAATTCCCATATTACAACCACTGAATCAGTTCTGGCTTTATTCCATTGCTCTATATTTTTAATAAAAGATGTCAGGCAGCTCAAGGAAAGTAGAAGAAGGACAAAATAAAACAGAAATAAAGAGAAACAGAAACGAAGAAAAACCCAATTCATATTCTTCTCCTTCTTAATCTCCTTCACCAGGGCTGATCTCTGTAAATCTGCTGAGATTCCTATCGGGATATATTTGTCTGCTCTTGAGATGTAAGAGGGAGAGCTGATTATCATCAAACAGCACAAAGCCAGTGGAGGAGAGCTTTGTTCAGCCTGATGTATAATTACTACCCTTTGCTGGCTGCTTTAGATCAAGCCTAAAAGGATCGGGGGGATTTCCTTCAGTGAAAGTGATCGCTCTGTGGCTGCATTTTTTTCTCCTTTCTGCTCATTTTCTCCATGTGTGATCAGTCCTCTGAAATTTTAGACAGCCAGGCGCAACAGCAGAGAGGCACCACTCTGCCAATTTAGTAGGAAAGTCATGTTTTTAATATGCAGAATAAAACTGTGGCCTTATTTAAGAATTAAATCCACCCCCTCATCAGACTTGGATTCAATCAAAGCTCAGCTCTAGACTGGAGTTAAAGAAAATGAAAGGACATTATTAGCATCAGCCCACCTGAGCTAAGGCCTAAGACAGGTCAAGGTCTCAGACTTGGAACTAAATGATCTGTAGGGTCCCCTCCAACCCAAACCATCCCATGATTCTGTGATTGGACACAGCCTCAGAGGTGCCTGGAGCTAAGTGAGATGAATGTCCTTCACTTGAAAGTGCAAATTAAATAATCTGAGCAGTTTAGAGCATCTTCTGACTGTCCAAAAATGTGGGATTTGCTGAGAATAAAGATGGGAAGTAGAAAAATTACAATCGTTGAAGGCTTAGAAAGTGTTCTCCATCCAGCAGAGACTTAGAAGCTCAGTGGATTTAATGCATCCAGGAAAGAATGAAGGCCCACAAACACACTAAGAAGAGATATCTAATGCTCTTTAATTGATGCTCTTTAATCAAGTGGGAAGAGGGTGTAAGCTCAGAGCAGAAGCCAAAGCTGCACATATGCAACGTGTACCTTGCACCATTCCATTCTGACAATTCCATTTTGAGGGAAATGGCTCAGTGACAGGGATTAGTTTTCTTTCCTTTGAAATCTTTAAATCAAGTACCTTTTTCTTTGGCTTGTGCTTCTTCAAAGAGGGAGGGCTGCACCAGCTCTAGAGCTGACCTGATAGGTCCCTGCACTGTGTAACTCTGACTATTCCTTGATGCTGAAATCCTCATTGGAGACATTTCTAAGTTTTAACAGTCAGCCTTAGGCAGCATTACCCTACTAAAATACAAGAATAAATCATCCCAGAGGGTGAATCACTGGTTTCTGCTCTCTAAATGCCTGGAGTCGATGGGACCCTTCTCCATCTGCTGCTTGATGGCACAGAAAAGGGAGAACAGAGGCTCTCCAGCACACTCCTGCAGGGATGAAAGGTAACCATGAGGTGAAATGAGAGGCTGGAATTGAGAATTCAACCTGGGCATCCCCGTGACTGCCTTGGTTTGCCATCGGATGTATCAGTCATCATCAGTCTATTCCAACAGCACAGGATCAGGGGTGACCCTCCACTTCCACAGAGTGCAACCAGCCCTTGGGCACATGGTGGGACCCTCAGGGATGGTCCTGTGCAGTGCCAGGGGTTGGGCTTGATGATCTTTGTGGGTCCCTTCCAACTCAGCTCATTCTGTGGCCCGGTGAGTGTCCTGTCATGGGATAAAGGTGTCAGCGTTCCCTGGCAATGCCAGGGCTGTTCAAGAGATTGCCATCAGGCCAGAGCTTTGCAGTGCTGGAGCAGCCAGTGGGATGGGTCCCAGGTGACCTGGAAGCAGGCTCCAAAGGGAGATGGATGGCAGGTGCCCCATCCTGGGTGCCTGGCCAGAGTCCACAGAGCACTTCCATGCTGCAGGAGTGCTCAGGCCCAGGTGTGCCCCTGGACCTGCGTGGAGGTGACAGAAGCGTGGGGCCCAGCACAGGACAGCAACAAGCAGCCCCAGGCAGACACAGCAAAGCTCATTTATCCTGAACTTCTCATTCCCACTCACTGAACTCCTCTTCCCACACTTTTCCTCCCTTGCTGCTCACCCTCAGTGCCATGCAGCTGGAGCTTTCTGCTCCTGCCTCCCTTCCCCTTCATCCCTCCCTTCTTCCTCCCCTCCTCGCCCTCTCCTCTTGTGTCCCAACTCAATGAGCGAGGTCATTTTCCTCTGGTGTAAATCCCAGCGAAAACAAGTTAATAATCGGAAGCAAAGTGGCCCCTTTTTCAGTCCCTACACCTGTCTCCCACTTAATTAGCTTATCTGCCAGCAGCATATTGCTTCTGTGTGCCTGTCTCCTGCCCTTATCAGGCCTCTGTTCAGGCTAAGGCAAGAAGACAAGTAGCTGAGTGGGGTGAAAAAAGCCTATTATAAAAGCAGCTCTTTAGAGAGTCACCTCCTTATATCCTTTCCTTTCAGCTGAAAGCAGGGATCTGATACTGAAGTCACTGAAATTACCTTCCAGGGACCTTCAAAACTTTCCCATGTGCTCGTCCTTGAACTGGTCGTGCCTGGGGAAGGCTCAGGGGGATTGGGGTTTATTTGTAAAGCCTCAAATTGCCTGGCAGAGGTGGTTATTCTGTCCAAATGAGGATGTGAGGTGGGAGGATATTTAGCAGCTGCAGTGGGAGTGGGGGAGAGGTGCAGAACTCAGCTCCTTCCAAAAAGGCTGGCTCTGAGCTTGGAAACTGTGATTCTTGAGGCTCAGTGTGTGCTCCCCAGCAGAAATTGGATCTCCCCAGCAGTCAGTGGCAGAGCTCAATGACTGAAAGACTTTTTTAACTACAGAAACCCCAAGGAGACCTTCCTGGAGGAATGAGAGAGCTCAGGGGGTGCCTCAAATTCTTCCACTCAAATTCTTTCACACAGCTTTGCTGATGGGTGTCCCTCCACTCTTTGTGGGGCTGTATCAGTGCTGCCTCTGAGCTGGGGGGAAAGGAGGTCTCCATCCACTGTGCACTGAAACTATGGGTCACCAAATGATGGAGACCTCAGCCTGCTGTTAAAAGGACAGCGTTCTCCACACAGGTCTCAGTCAGGCTCTGAAATTCTCCCCACTTCAGCACTGACCCTTAGGTCCCACCTCTGTACAAGGGAGAGACCGACAAACTGCCTCTCTAACAAAGTGTCCCTCTTTGTTCTCCCTGGGTCAGAAAATAGCCCATCTCCTATTAGGCAGTGACCTCCTTCCAGAGGCAAAAAAAGCCTTTAGCTTGATATCTGAGAAGTTTTCACCCCAACTGATCCTCACCAAGAAGAAATGCTTTAAAGATGTTTTTCCGGCTGCTTCTCCTCTTACCTTGAGGAACTTGTAGAGGAGGAAGGTGAACCAGTTGGTGAGCATTTTCTCAGCCACAGATTCTGTCCTAAAGTAGAGAAAAAAGAGAATTGGAAATGAATCAGTCATGCTGGTCCTATCAAAATTCCGTCTTTGTCCATCTTCCTGCCCAGTGGAAAGTCTGGCATGGCACCATCAGGATTTAGCACGTCCTAGGTTCCCTGTTTTAGTTTTGGATTTAGGAAACCTGCAGGAAAACCCTTGTTGCCCTGTTGATTCTGCTGTGACTACAAGTCCCTGTGTATCTGTTTTCCAGTTTCTCCAACAACGAAAAGGAATTGACGACATTTGAGGGAATCTTCTCCAAAGAGCTCAGGGGGGATAAATCCATCAAATCTGAGGAGCTCAGAGCGAGGCCATATGTCAAGGAGGCTGTATAAATACTCAGGAGAGACAGATCTAAGTCTCTGGGGAACAGTTATCTGGCACTGCCTATCTCCCTGGCATTTGGGAGTGATTACACTCCTCAATGTGTCAATGTGGCACATACACAGAGCTCATCCTTCTGCCCTTGAGCACTCTGTCCTCAATCAAACAAAAAATCCATCTCAAGGCTTCAGGGTGAGCTTCTCCTGCAGAAACATGTGCTGGCTCCAGTGCATGCACCAGAGAAAGACCAAGAGAAACCAAGAGAAAGTTGGAGAAACCAAGAAAAAACAGGAGTCTCTGCCCGGAAGAATTAAGTGGGTCCTCCTTGTCCCAGCTCTCACCAAAGCCATGCAGAAGTTCTTGTTGCTGCAGCTTTCTGCCCACAAGATCTCTTTAGGGCCATAAATGTCACATGGGAAAAACACTGGACACAGGTGACTTGGGAAAATCACTTCTACCAGCTCCTTTCTTCTGTCACACTCCTCCAAAACTGCAAAAGATTCCCTTTCACAGACTCATGGGGAGGGAAGGGAAGCATCAAGCTGAATCCAGCTGCTCCAAGGAGCAGTCTGAGGTCCTCACACCAACACCTGACCCAAGGCACTGTTCTGTGCTGGTGCTGCTCAGTGCAGAACTTCCTCCTCTGACTTCTGATGTTTCTAGGGTTTGGAGCACTCGATGTGCCCTCTTTGTTCACTGGTGGTCCTTCCAAGGGCCACAATTAATTTCCAGCAAAGAGGATCAGACTTAGAAAAGAGCTGGAAGAAGGAGAATGAGGAAAGGTGGGATGCTCAGAGTGAGCAACAAGGGAAGACAAAGAGGTGGAGAAAGGTGAAGGAGAAGGAGGAGATGAAGGAGGAGGCAGTGCTACCCAGCATCAGAGAAGAAGAACAGACAGGAAGCCTGGGGACAGCTGGAGGGTGGTCACCAGCCAGGCTCTAGGGCTTGAGCACATCAGGCAGTCAAGTGACACCAAAGAAAAGTCCAGCCTCTGCCACTGGCATTGCTGCCCCGAATGCCAGGAAATGCCTTCTGCTCCTTTTTTGCTGGTTCTCCACAGTGGGCCATGTGCCAGATGAAAAACCTCCCAGCCCAGCAGGCACCAGAGATCCCTTCCCTGTCCAAACTGTCCATCGTAATCAGCTGAGGGTTCCTCAGAGTCAGCTCTGGGCTGTGGCAAAGGCCACTCATCTCCAGAAGACTTCCCCTGATTTTATTTAGGGTCCTTGAAGCAGGAGGGTTGGTTCAGTCTGTGAAAAGGAGATGAATCTGATCCTAAAGGGAAAAGAGGCAGCACGTCCCTAGGCAGGGAAAGTTAATTACAGAGCAGCAGACTCCTAATTCAAAGTTTCCCACAGAAATGTGGAGTTTAAGACCTTAGGCCAGGCCAAGAAGCACCAATCCAAACTTGTTCCCTGTATGCCACCAGTTCTGTTGTCCTGCTCCTCTGCTGATCTCCACAAACTCCCAGCACTGGGAGAGAAATGAGTTCTCACAATGCAGCTGCAGTCTCTCCATTTCTCTGTAGTTAACTTAGGAACAGGAAGCAAGGCTGGGAAATCCATATCCCAGGCAGGAGATGGAAGAAGGGATTTAATGTACCAGATATGTGATATTCCTATAGGTCCTACACAACATGATTGAGATTTTCAGGTTAAAAGGAAACATAAACAGAAATTAACATCTTTGGCATGCAAAGACCCCAAAATAAAGATTGAGCTTTTTCTGTCCTTATGAAACTTCCTGGAGGATCCACATGAAAACCCAGAGGTGGATTAGTCCTGTAACTTTTCATCATTTATTTCTTTTTTGTTAGGGAGGAGACCGAGCAAGATCTACATCTCCAAAGACGATTACGATGTTTGTGTGGGCACAGCCTTCCCAGCCGGGCTCCCTCCATGCCCAGGCATCCTTACCTACGGAGCAGCAGCTTGGGGTGGTTCTTGCTCTCCAGGTTTTTGTCGATGAGGTCGGCCAGGAGCTGTTTGAGGACGTCGGTGGCGTACTCCAGCTTGCTCTGCAGCACCGTCATGATCAGCGAGGCCACGTTGCCGCGGTCCCGCATGGAGAAGCTGCGCTGCGACTCCAGCGTGCGGATAAAGGACAGCAGGAAAACCTTGTTGTTGATGAGCTGGGCAAAGAGCTTCAGGCCCTTCTCCACCCGTTCCTGCCGGTAGCCAGGGACCTGCACAAGAAGAAAGGGAGTTTTTTTCCTTTCCCTCGTTTTCCTGTTGTCAAATGTCCTGTTGTCATGCTCTCTTTGCTACCTCCCTGCTCTCATCCCTCCAGCTCCTCGGCTAAGGAAAGACAGGAAGGGAATCCTTACATCATCTAATGAAGTTTGAGAAGACTCCCAGCCACATCCAGATGATTTTTCCAATCCTGTGCTCCCTTCTCTGAACAGTACATTCAAAAGGGATTTCTGGTACCTAAATGTGTCACCGTGCCACATTATATTTTTATTTTAGTCAGACTGAAGTCTTACTCTGATTTCATCCAAAACTTCTTTCTTATTCCTGCAAGAAACCTGCTTGCAGAGGTTTGGGGTCAGCTTTAGGGAGCTGGGAGAGGCAGCAAGAGAGTGAATGGGAAAGAGAGCCCAGGGTGAGGTTTTGAGGAGAGGAGGACATGCAGTGAGGCAGTGGCTGAGATGGTGACCATGGAGCTGGGCCTTGGTTTGAAGAGCAAGGCAGGTGAAGGTTGAGACGACACCCTGAGCTCCAGTAGAACCCCTGGGTTTGGGGGCTGAGGTGATTCAGAGACAGAGGGACTGATAAATCTTGTATTTCTCAGCTGTGAGAGGCTGATGAACTCATTTTAATATGGAACAATTCAGGACCTCAATGCTGGAGCCTGGGCTCCACAGAGGTCTTTTTGATCCTTCCAGCTCTAGGCAAATATGGAATCTAAATAGTGAACCCCAAACTCATCCCTCCAGTTGCTGAAGCTGTTCCAGCCCTTGAAAAATCTTTCTTGGAAGCTGGAGGGTCTCACCACAGAGCAACACTTGCCACCAAGGCATATATGAATTAATAACCACCCAAATCTGGCACTATAATACAAAATAAGTTGGCTTGCTTAAACAGCCAAGCAATGCAAGGCCCCTTATAGAGCCGTTACTTTTTCATTGTGGAAATTAGAGTTCTCAACTCTTTTTGCATCCAGCAAATAAATTACTTCCTAAATAGACTGAGACAACCAACAAACCACCACCACCCATCCTGCCAATAATTATTTTTAACTCACTTGCTTGAACATTTAATATTGTCTATCCCTGGGTTATTATGGAGAATTAAAACAAAATAACGAGAAAAGTATTTTGTGCTGCATCTGGAAGCAGTTAATTAGCAAATGAACTGGAAATAACTAAGACCTTCTCACAGTGGGATCTGTGCTGGGGCCTTTTGCAATAAATAGCAATTCCTTCTGGGTGCTACAGACAGGGGAGCAGAATGCGAGCTGCCTTCACGTTGGTAGACAAAGAGGTTGACACTGAGAGAGCTGGTGAAGCTTTAAAAAGGATTAAGGGAAAAAAAAACAACAAATGGAATGAAAGGAAGAAGAGATCAAAGGTGTTGGATTGAAACATTAGCTCAGTGTGTATCTACATAGGGGAGCATCCGTGCTACGGCCTCTGCAGGGGTCAGATGCTGTTCTGTGATCAGCTGGATGGGGTTAATGAATGTAGGGATTGAAATTGGCTGTGGGGATAATGGAAGTGTTTGTGTGTGCACACATGTGAGAGGGAGGTTCAGCACCCCTCGTTCCTCCTCGTTTGTTGGAGCTGCTCGTCCTGAGGGAAGGCAGCTAGACACCCCTCGACCTACACTCCCAATCTATGTGCTAGTTATGTGTAACTCAGCCTCCTACCCAGTCCCACAAGCCCTCCTTGCTGACAGATCAGGTTTTTAATGTCTCTCTCTCCACACAGTTGGATGAATTTTGGCTCTTTGGAATGGCAGGAGCAAAGCCGAGCAGGCATCTCTGATTACACAGCCAGCCAAGCGTGGGCCTGCCTGTGCCAGCTCCTGCTCCTCCTTCCTGCCAACCCAGCCCAGGCCTGGCCTCCAGCAATCTCCCAGGCCCATGCCAGAGCCTCTCTGGAGCTCAGAGCCTGCCAAAGGCTTTGCAGAGAGCTCAGCCAGCACCTTTGCCATGGTGTAGCTCCTGATTCTCCAGCCCAGATATTCCTAGAGCATTCCTGTCCATCTGCCAGAGCCTGGAGCTGATTTTAGCTCAGCAGACCTTACCTGGGCTCCCATCAAACTCCTGTCACCACTCAGGTAATACAGGCTCTTTGCAGACCCCAAGATTTGTGAACAGTGTCTCACTGCACTCCCATCTCCCTCCAGAGGGTCAGGGTGGGTGAGGAGGGTTGGGCAGGGAATGGACACACAGACACTCTGGTTTTCTGATCTCACTTCAAGCCAGAATGCAGCAAAGGTGAACCTCCCTCAGTGACAGGGAGTTATTTTTATAGGGGTTGCCACAAAGAAAACCTGGCCTCTTAGTAGTGTGAGGGTCATGCAAAGGTGGATGACACAGGCAAATAAGCTTCTCTGTCATACAACAGGTTTTCCTTGCTCTGCACAGCAGAAAATATTAAATTCAGTCTAAAACTCAAGCCACAGAAGGGTTAAGACCAAAGAGAAGCTTAATTGAGTGGCCCTAATGCATATGGATTTATGAGTTGTCCAAATAAATGAGTGATCAGACAGAATTTAGGAAGTAACAAGTGACAAGATGAGAGGAAACGGCCTTAAAGTTGTGCCAGGGGAGATTTAGATTGGAAATTAGGAGAAATTTCTTCACTGAAAGGATGATCAGATGGTGGAACAAGCTGTCCAAGGGTGTTGTGGGATCACAATCCCTAGAAGTTTTCAAAAAGTGTGGATCTCACAGGAGGGGACATGTTTTAGTGATGGAATTGGCAGCAATGGGCTGATGATTGGAATTGATGATCTGAGAGGTCTACTGCAGCCTAAATGATTTTATGATCTAACAGTAAATATTTCCCCTTTCATCCCAGATTTTTAGTGAGGACTTGTTTGACCCCTTGTAGGACACAGCATAATCAAGCCATCACATGCCCACCACTGGCACAGCATCTCTGGAATTCAGGACTGAACAGGGAGGCATGAGAGGAGCTAGAAGCAGGAAACGTTGTTGCTTTACCTCCAAATCCCTCAGGACTGGATGATCTTCAATGCCAGGGAAAAGCACTCTCATGGTGTAGGTTCGGTAGTCAAGGAAAGGGATCCCAGCTCCATCCAGGTCACTCGTCAGCTCATGGATATCTGTCTGCAGCTCTGCAAAGGCTGGCACAAAACCAGAATAACTCAGGGAGCAGTGAAAATCCAGATCAGCCTCACCAGAATGGAAAAAGCCCCCGACCCTCATGAACAAGAATGAGAGGCAACATGTGGAGAGGAAGAAGGTGGAGAGAGCAGGGTCACCTTTCCCACAACACAGCCTTTCCCCAGGGACATGTGCCAAGGCTTTCTGTGGATTTTGAATTATCAAATCCAGTTAGAAGGGGGTGGAAAAAGTCTGGACTAAGGGAAAACAGGGAAAGTCAGCTCAGATCCCGGCTGGAGCCACACCCACAGGGTTCAGGTGGTATTTTGGCTCAAAGCTTTGTGACTGGGTGTCTCCCTTCTACCAACACTGACAGAGTCATGCTGCCTGCCTCACCCTACCTTCTTTGCACTCCAGGGCCACCCTGGACTCCAGGTTGTCCATCTGCATCTGCAGGCGCTTGAGGGTGAGGTCGCTCTCCCTGGACTTGCGCTTGTAGGCGATCAGCACGGCCACGATGAAGATGATGAGCAGCCCGCCGGCCACCGCAATGCTGACGATGGCTGGCAAGCTGAGAGGGCTGTCTGGGGAGATGTAGACCATCCCTGGAGAGAACTCCATCCCTCCTACACGAGCCTAGAGGGAAAGCAGCAAAGAGCTGCATTGAAACTGTCAAACAAGCAGGAAGGCAGAGGAACTCTGTCATCGTCCTGGCTGAGGGTGAGTGGTGACATCCCCTTGTCTCCCCAGACAAAAGGGGAAGTATCTGGATATGGAACAGCCTCAAAACACTTGAAATGCCAGATAGAATCACCTCTGTTGGCAGTCACCTGGAGCCCAACCACAAAAGGACTTGTGGTGAGACAAGTCACCAGTCACAGTTTCTCCGTATCAGTTCGGATTTCATTCTGGATTTTTCGTTCCCCATCCTGATGTGTTGTATGATGTCACCTAGTCCCAAAATACACACTGAACACAGAGCTCAAGGGATGGCCTGATGGGTCCTGACCCAGTGGGTACAGTGGGACTGCAGAAATCAATCACTATTTTCTTTTGACTCTCCCACCAGATAGAACTGTACTTGGAAGACTCTGGGATAGTGGCAAACCACCACAAACCCTACGAAGCCCAGCCCATTCTCTTTACAGCTCCTATCTTAGCCACACATCGTCAGGGTGACTGCAGATGTACACCTGTAGGAGCTGAACACAGCTTTTTGTTCTCCATGTACTTCCAGAGGTTCCCAGAGCTGCTTCCATCCTCTGGTTTTGGTTTTAATAACCAGAAAGAAACCCTGCAAGCACTCCTGCTGCAAGCCCAACAAAATGTTTTGCTGAAGCAAGTCCCTTAGAGCCTTTTTTTACAACCTGAACACCACTCCCAACAGGAATCCCACAGGATACCACCTGCTTCAGGCTACTACAAGGCTGTTCAAAGCTATTTGTAAAATAGGCAAAGCTTGAGAGGTGGAAGAAAAGCTCTGCTGACCTGCCTGAAGTATAAAAAGGCTTCTAGGGCTGTGTTGTGGTTTGGGAATGCTGCTTGTCGATCAGCAGAAAGCTGGGAAGATGCCATGCAAAGAGCTTGAAGGATGGTGAGCCCCATCTCTTCATCCCAGCTGAGATGTGGCACAGAGCGGCACAGCTGGCCCTGCACAAAGGGCAGACTCTTGCTGCCAGGCAGAAATGCACTCAAGACCCCAGGGCTGAGTGTTTCCCGCTCCCATTGCACCTGGGACCACCACAGTGTGGAATGAAACTGTTTTCTTCCTCCATTGTGAGGAGCTCTCCCTCACATTTCTCCCCCACACCCCAGCCTGGTGTTCAGCCTTGTCCTGCATCCCACTGGCTCTCAGATAATCTCCAGCCTGCCTGGACACTTGTTAATTCCAGGGCTTCCCACATCTCAGGCACCTCCTCAGGTTTCCTCCCTAGGCTGCAGGAGGAAGAAACTGGCTCAGCTGCAGCCAGCAGAAGAGACTGTGGAGCAGAATCATGAATTAATGAATTTTCCCAGGTGATCTCCACCCCAACCCTTTTTGGGAAATGAATCTCAGTGACCTTATCATCTCCTAGAAGTTATTCCAGTCCCAACTGCAGGCTCTACCACCAGGTGTAGGCTGCTCCTCAGTGGGTCCTGGCCAGAGACACAACTTACAACCCTTATGTCATGGACAAGACCAAAGTGAATGTCTGAAAGCAGCTAATTTCTATCCACAAGGCCCTCTTGTGCTGTTTTGGGATGGGGTTTAGAGAGATGAAATATTCATGATGAAAAACAAAACAAATCCTAAACTCATCTGTTCAGGTAATAGTTCCAGGATGGCCAATTGCTACCATGATGACACTGATGGCTTGTAGAGCATTTTCAGTGGCCAAAGAACTTCAGACACACAGCTGGGGATGCAGCAGTAATGAGTTTTCCCATCTATTTCAAGATACAAGATCCAACTCACTTATAAAACCTGAGGTTTGTTGTTGGAATGTGGCCTGCTCAACTGAGCAGGAAAATTGCCAAAATCACTTCCTAATCCATGCACTGGATATTGTTCCCTTTTGCCCTAGACCACTGTCCCAAATCCTCCTAGCAAAATTTTCTCATAGCTCACACACTTTCCTTCCTGTCAGTGGATCAATAAATAGATTAATCCTTTCTCATTTTCTCTTTCTCCAAGCCCTGCAGTCAGATAAGTCCATTCAAGGAATATCAGACTAGACTCAAACAACCCCAATCCCAAATCCCAGTGCAGATCCATCCTCAAAGCTGGAAGAACAGCCCATCTCCATGGGTAGGATTTCTCTCACCAAATATTCCACGTGCACATCCAAGTTAGACACTGCAGCACGATTCCAGAGTCGACAAAGAGAAAAGCCACTTTCAGGATGTGATTTATGTGAGCTGCTTCTGACACCTTTGACTTTGGGATGAGACGTTTCATTCAGTGGAAGTTCCCATTTCTCTCCATTAATGATAAAGGGATCTAAGCTCCAAAAAGCAGGTGTTCAAAGTTAGGCCCAGTGTGTTCCCCTTTAAAGGTGGTTTCATCACTGGGAAGGTCTCACAACCCACAGGTGAAGCTGCCACGATCTGAGGGAATCTGGCTCTTGAAGAAGAAAGTCTACGAGGCTGCAGTGTTATTATGAGCTTTTAAAAGAAACAGAAGAAAATAGCCCTACTTTATTTCTTAATCCACCAAGTGGTTCTGGAGGAAGCTATTTTCACCTTCCAGGAGATTGACCATGAACCTACCAAACAACAACAATCTGGCCATTTTTAAAGACTATTAATCATGAATTTGCCGTAAATTACACTAAATGTTCTAAATGGGCTCTGTGTCAGAGCCTGGGTTTCTCCAACAAAGTCTTAGTGGCCACCTGTAGGAGTTTAGGAGTTCTGAAGGAGTGTCTTTCCTGGTGCAAATATGTCCTGGCCAAATAAAATTATCCCTCTAAGGGTGAGATGAATCATGCCCTGAACTTCAGCTGCTGCACTTGACCATCTCTCCATTCACTACACAGAACCTTTCATTATAGAGCAACCCTTCAGATGTATTCCACATCTTCCCTGCAGACCTTCTCTGGCGTAGCCACTCGTGGATCTTCCTCATATCTCTTTTCCTTGGAAAAAGCTTGCCTCTGAGTTTCAGTCAATCTTCTTTTTAGCCATCGCCCAGGCCTTTTATTTCTTTGCTATTTTTCTTCAAATACTTAGCTCTGTCATTGTGTAAAAGGCAGCTGAACCAGATCGAAAGCATGTTGACATCAGCGTGTGTCATTGCCACTGCTCCTTCACTTAGAAATAATCTCTGTGTTGCATCAGTTGATTCACTCCCATGGCTCCCTCTCAGCTCGTGGCCACCTCACTTTGCAAGAAAGGGTTTGTTCAACAATTTCCTCAAGGTCAGGCAGTAAATCTTTGGCAGAATCAGGAGGAGGAATAACTATCAGTTATCCTGGCCATCAAAGAGATGTTTATGTAAAACTTGGTCCCAGCCTGAGCAGCAGAGATGCTGTGCAAAGCTGGAGGAAGTATTTTCCAGCCCTGGTTCCAGATGCAAAGTCCATCCTTGAGCACCTCCATCACCTTCCCAGTTTCCTAGCAGTATCCCTTGTTTGACCAGCATCCTCTAAAAGGGATTGTTTTTTAATCTTTGGCTTCACTTAAACGGTCCCAGGCTGCAGGAGCACGGGACTCTTCTCAATTAGCACAGCCTGGCCAGATATCCATCATCCTGGATCCCCAGGGGCTGATTATTGCTCACTGGGATTGAGTTTTGTCTCCCCAGGAGAGGCTTTGTCTGTTTCTGACTGACCATATGTTTAATCATATCCATGAAAATGACAGGGAACATTTATTGCTGCGCTCAAAAGCTTTGGTTTTCACACAGAGAAAATCTCTCACTTCATTACTGCTCCTCTTGGAGAGTCTTAATGTGCTTTGCAATGAGTCGAGGGTCACGGTGTATTTGCATGGCTGGAAAGGATTATTACCTCTATTTTCCAGATGACAAACTTTGGCACAGACAAGTTAAGTAGCCACTGCGAGGGATCCCAGCAGCAGCCACAAGCAAGACCCAAAATGACCATCATCAACTCTGCTTCCTAAAAGCTCCCAGAAAAATCTTTTTAGAGATCAAATTCTCTGAGTCTCATCCCACTGAAATAAATAAATTAATATGTGACAGCTACAGCTTTGGGAGGTGCAACAGGAAAACAGTTGTTCACAAGGAATGAGAAACACTGATGTCAGTTGTCAGCTTTTGTTGTTCCCACCCACAGCTCGGTACAGCTCCAGGGTGTTTGCTGATATGATGTTTATCAAGCACCAGCATCAAGGAATTCAAATTATTGAGAGGAAAATAAAAAAAAGGAGTAAATAAATAAACGGTGAGAGGAGAAGCTCCCTCTGATGTAATCACCAGGTTCATTCTTCACAGGTTCCAGGAAGGATTTGAAGGAGCACATTAAGTTTTATAGAAGTCATAACTCTGAAGCCCAGTCACACTATTGTCCACATCCTGCTTTTTTTTTTTTTTCATTCCTCTCCTACATAAAGGCAAATTTTAGTCACCATCCTGTCAATAAAATGATGTGGACTGTGCTGAATTTAACAATTTCATGTAGGAACATGTTACACATGATCTCACATGAGCATCCCAGGTTCATGGAACAGCCCACAGAAAACCAGAAAAGAGGCAAACTCTCCTACTGGAGTTTGATCATGAAAGGTATCTCATTGTCCACAAAGATCTCCAGGTCACTTTTCCACTGTTCTACTTCTCCAAGCTACCCTTGATGAGAATATTATTCCCAAAAGGGGCCCTGACATTTCTGGGAAGGCAAAGAGTGATGGAGCCCCCTTGGAGCACTCTGCCAGCCCTTCCGCTCTGCTGTGTCCTCCCAAGCCACCCAGGGAGCAGAGGCTGAGGGTCAGGCATCACTTACCATCACCTTGTGCCTCCCAATGAGGTTTGGGGACTCGCAGAGGAGCTGCACGTCTGACACGGTCACTGCACAGGGCTTCTCACCCACCAGAACGGTGTAGTTCAGCTTGGCATTGCCTCCTGCCACCGGTGGGATCAGATTCCTGCCCTGCACAGAAAGGAACATCACACCCCAAAATAGCCAAATAAACATCGGGAAGGAGTTTTCTTTCCCCCTCTGGGTCATTCCTGGGATACAAGTGTCGTTACTGCATTTGATAGGTGTGGATGGCTGATCCCTGATGCTGCTCCAGGCCAGGTTGGACGGATGAGGCTTGGAGCAACCTGGTCTAGTGGAAAGTGTCGCTGCCCATGGCAGGGGGTTGGAATGAGATGCTCTTTAAGGTCCCTTCCAACCTAAACATGATTCTATTATGACATTTGTAGCTCACCATTTGCTCACACAGAGAGGAAAAGCCAATTTAGGAGCTCATGCAGAGAACAGCATGAGTAGTTACAGACTCAAAGCCAGTCACAACAGCCTGTCCTGCTCCTCCCTCTCTGCAAGTGAATGAGAAATGTTCCCCCTAAGTCCTGCACAAAAAAAGCCTTCACTAAACTTAGACAAGTAAGTCAGAACCTTTTCCAAACATGAAGAAAGCATCTGCAAGTAAAATAACTTCTTTGCATATTCACCATGTAAAAATAGTGATACAGAAATGCTGCATCATAAAACTCCTTCTCTGCATTGCTGTGAAGTGGCAAAGGACTGGTTTGGGTTTGAACAAGGGTGAGAGGAAGCTCTTGAATTTACAAGAAGGGAAACAGAGTTGAGTCAGCCACATGGCAAGGGTAGAAGATCTCTGGTGTTCTCTGGTGAGCAGCAGTGGGTATAAATTTAGGCTACACTCAAGAGTTTATAATTTTTAGTTGTGGATGTGGGCAGTGCTTGATGGTGACTCAGGTATGGTTCCATAAGGGACAAGGAATGGAGGGAATTTCTGGGGTGCAATCAGGACAATTTATGGGGGTGCTGGCAGGCACAGGGAGGCAAGAGGCAGAATTTGTCCTTCCTCATCCACTCCTTGGTTCCCATCTCACCTTCAGGATGATGGGACTTCCAGGCTTCAGCTCCAGGATCCCTGAGGGATTGAAAACCTCAAAGATAGGGTTGGGATAGTAGGTGAAGTTGGTTTTGTTGAGGATCAGCAGGGACTGCACATTGTCAAGGATGAAGCCAAACTCCTCCGGGCGCTCAGCGAGCTCAGACTGGTGATTGGGGTCCACAGCCAGTGCTGGGGCCTGGCAGGTCATCTCTGTGCTGTTCTGCACCTCACAGTTCTGGGGAAAAAAAAACCCAAAACAAGGAGTTTTTATGGGAAATAGGGACCCTGGCAGGTCATCTCTGTGCTGTTCTGCACCTCACAGTTCTGGGTAAAAAAAACCCAAAACAAGGAATTTTTATGGGAAATAGGGACCCTGGCAGGTCATCTCTGTGCTGTTCTGCACCTCACAGCTCTGGGGAAAAAAAACCCAGAACAAGGGGTTTTTTTTTATGGGAAATAGGGACCCTGGCAGGTCATCTCTGTGCTGTTCTGCACCTCACAGCTCTGGGGAAAGAAACCCAAAACAAGGGGTTTTTATGGGAAATGTCCTCATCCTTCCTGGTGGGCAGATGGTTCTCAGGGAGAGGAAGGAGCAGACCTCCATGGTTATCCTGGGACAGGTTGGTGCTCCACTGCTTCTGAACATTCCCCACCACACAATCAAGGCTGGGGAGGGATTAGGAAAGCCTGGCTGAGGCGGGTGTGTGGAGCAGTTTGCACTTCAACAGGGCCTCCTGTGGCTCTTGAGAGAACTATGGCTCTGTTGCCAGCATCAGCATCTTTCCCTGACTTTGTTTCCTTCTGGAAACAGAAGTTTCTTCCCTTATTTCTGGCACAGCACAGATTAGTGAAAACCTCGCTACCACCTTGCAATTAGGTCTCACACTCTGATTGTTTCTCCAAAAGTGTTTGTGCAGTGCATGCTCAGCTGTGCTCAGGATTCCAGTTTGGATATCAGGTTATCTGAAATGAACCCCAGCAAGCTGGAGAAGCAAAGACAAAGGTGAAGGTCTCAGAAGACCCTGAAGTTTGGTTACAGCCCTGCCAAAAACCTTCTTTTTTGTGCGTGTCCTTCAGGGATGAGAATATTTCTGGAAACAAATCATTTTGGGCTCTCTTTTTTGGGCTGCAACAGGAGATTTCAAGCTCCAGAGCTGCCAGCCAGCCCCTGTCCCCACCATGGCACGTCTCCATCCCAGCTCTGCAGTCAAACTCACATTGACGTGCTCCTTTCCACCGTGCTTTGCCCGGATCTGAGGGTTTTGGATGAGGTCCAGGTGAGTTCCCCACACGGCAATGGGAGTGTTGCCACTGGAGGAGAAGAAATGGAATTAAAGAATGAACCCAGCTAATAAATGTCAGAACTCATCACACCAGGAATGGGTGATCTGTGCTCCTGAGTGCTGGTTGCAAACTGTCTGACTGCATCTTGTGGTCCTGTAGAGAGGGAAGGAAGAACAAAACAAATAATTTTTCACTCGTTCATAAATGGAGAAATAACTAAAGACAAATGCTTGCTAAAACTGCCGTGTCAGGGAGCCTCTGGGTGGTTCTCATTGTCAGGATTCAGCCATCACAAGCTTTGGGGATGAGAAGAACAGTGGAGATTTAACACAGGGTCTTTAAAATGGTCCACAGGCTGTATCTCCTATGTCCCCTCAGTCAGTCACAGAACTATAAAATATCCTGAGCTGGAATTCACAAGGATCATCCAGTCCAACTCCAGCTGCAGAGACACCCCAACAATCCCACCCCGTTCATCCCTGAGGGTGTTGTGCAAACACTCCTGGAGCTCTGGCAGCCTTGGGGCTGTGACCATTCCCTGGGGAGTTGTTCCAGTGCCCAACCCAAAAAGCCCTCACGGACACAATCTCATGGAAACAGCTCTTGAGGATTCTGGGCTGAGGTCTGTAGTCCCATATCTAACCTGAATGTGACAATGTCACTTCAGTGAACTCTTTGGTGCCACCAGGGAGCCCAGATCCATGGCAATTAGGGGAAATGGAGCCAAAGTCTTCAGTTCTGGTGTGCACCAGGCACTGGCCTGGTTTCCATGTGGTGGCCCAGCTAGACCAGGACCCAGCACGAGCAGAGATTCCCAGTCTCTGTGTCCCCTTGCTCAAAGGCTAATTTCCTGAGAAAGCCAACTCCCACAAGCCACAGCCCACAGGCATCTGGTGGATTTTCTCACTTTTATTGGAGATGCAGCTGGAGCCCTCCCCACTCCCTGCAGTCACAGTCACCACAAGGAAACAGCTCTCAGAAACACCCTTCTCTCCTTTCCCCTGCCCCTTCCAGCTGCAGCCAGCAGCTCTGGGACTTCAGGGAATGTAGGGGAAGGAGGAAGGAAACTGCAAAGGATCATTCCTGGGTTCCCAGGGTTGGCTCTGAACACCACATTAAGGAGAAGGGCTCACCACAGGCAGCTTTGGCCATCCCAAATTAAAGCAGCTCTGATCTATCAGGGTGAGCTCTGCTGATAGAGGTGGAGCCAGAGTGATCCAGGAAAGGAGAAGACTTACCCAAGAAAGTAAAACCTTCACTTGTCAGGGCTCACACAGCCAGGACAGGATGAGGAAATGTCATCAGCAGACAGCCCCATCTCTGAGGGGCTGCCAGGGTGAGCAGTGCTCTTAGCAGTTTCAGCACCTGCCTCTATAACTCCCTTTGGAAACTGTCCAGGATGCACTTTATTTCCTGCTGGGAAGGGGAGGCCACGTGGAAATCAATGGGATTGTGAAAAGAAAGCTCAGAATCCCTTTCCTGCCTCCAGGTAAAGCTGCACACACAGGAAAGGGGAAGCACGTGCATTATAAATGAGAATACACCAGAGAATAAACACCTTGTGAGGAAGAAGGCAACAAATCTCCCCCGTTTCTGACCTTTGTTTTCAGTGTTCCTCATTTATCTTCCATTATTTATCAGCTGGGGAGGCAGGAATGAATGCAAACACCCACAGAATAGCTGTCAGGTTTGGGTGAGCTCTGCCCCCGCCCCTCCAGTGGCATCCACGTTGATGAACCAAAGAGTTTGGGTTTATCCAAAGAGAACTGGCACAACCACATCTCTCGGCAGATACCCAGGAGATACTCCTGGGACACTTCTCTGGGAGGCTCCTCATGGTCTTTCACTCAAGGACTGGTCCATGGTTAGGGCAACATTTGACCTTGAGTTTTGCAGAGTATCTCAAGTTTTTTCTCTCTGAAATCAGCTATCAGCTATGGTTGGAAATTGCTAATGGGAAATTTTACAGGGCAAACCCACATTTTGCTGTTTCCACAAGATCTGGATGAGTTTTTTTGAATGCACAAGGGATCCTGCTGAAGTCACACATCTGTTTACAAGAGACCTTCTCTGCCTTGCAGAAAAAAATACCCTCTCCCCAAAATTCAGTTTCCCTGCAAAGATTCCTGACACCATCCAGGGAGAGCTCATTCTTCAAAACCCAGAAGTGTATAAACCAAATTATTCTTTCTCCACTGCCCAGAGTCTTCTCAATTTTGGCTGTGAGCCTTAGTATTAGTAATAAAAACAATATTTTTATTGCTATTATTGCATTATTCATTAATAATTAAATCATTATTTCATTACTAATTACTAATATAATTAATCTCTGATGATTCAAACTAGAAGGGATTTTATATCTCTACTTGGCTCAAAGTTTTACCTGTTCCACAAAAATCCAATGTGTGAACACACCTACAGGTATGTGTGTCTATATAAACACAAATCCTTTTATTTAATCAAACCAAATCCGTGCACACAGTTTTAAACCCACGTGTCAAAAATCCTCTGTTTGGGTTGGAATCTGAGCTTGCAGGCTCAGACCACAGGTAATAAACACAGCCACAGCACCTGACCAGAGAGAGGGAAAGAAAAAAGGTAAAGCAGGTTTTTGTTTGCTGAAGACTTAAAATCACCCCCAAACCATCTCTGGCTTGAAAACAAAGTAAATAAAACTGGTTTTTGCCTTGAAAATCACCAGCCATTGGCATTTGTGGCTGCTTCTGGATGGTCAGCCAGGTGGGAGCAAAGCCTAGAGACCTGCTGCTGCCTAGCAAAATAACAGAGGTGCCAAAAGCTCTCAGAATTTAACTGGTTATTGCCCCAACAGACCCTGACTATCATTTTCTGCCTGCAGACTCAGGTAATTGCTGGATGTAACTCAAATCAAACCCAGATCAAAAGTATTAATGCAGCCTCATAACATTTTTACTTGCCAGCCCAGCGTGAGTCTTTTTTTTTTTTTTTTGTGTTTTTTTTGGCTATGGAAGTAAATTAGCAGTAATCTTTTCTTTATTGTCTTGAAAAACAGCCCTTGAAAAGGTTTTAAGCCAGGCTTGGTACATTCATTCACTGGTTTTGCAAAGCTGGTTTAGTGGCAATCATCTCTCGCTGGGAACAGCTCAGCCTCGCAGTTACAGCACCAAAAACCGCCCCTGACACCCTGAACTCTGGGTAATCCTGGATATTCCATCTTCTCCAGGGCTGTGCACCTTTGGAGTGGCTCAAAAGTGGTTAAGGAGGAGGATGAAATTGGGTAGGTTTGGTTAAAATGGGGCGTCTGTTAATGCTCAAGTTGATGCTCCCTGGTTTCAGATGAGGAAAGCAAAGGGGAGAGGTTGTACCCAAAAATGTTCCATCATTGGAAATGCTCAAATCATCCCCAGAAGTGTGCAAAAGCTGTGTGGATGTGTCACCTGGGGACACATTTGGGTGGTGAACATGTCAGTGCTGGGTTAAGAATTGGAGTCAATTATCTCAGAGGTCTTTTCCAGCCTTAATAATTCCATGAGAGGTGAGACAAGTGCAGTCCCAGCCATCCATCCTAGCAGCTACACACCCCACAAATAATCTAGTACCCCCTAAACAAGCACCTCACCCTTATTTCCATTATTCTGGGATTTGGGAATGGGGGATCCCATCCATCCAGCACCTCCAGGCTGGCCAAAACTTTGCTTACACCTGAGGCATCTCCTTGGCTGCTCCTTCACCTCTGTCTGGCAGCTTCAGCAGAGAAACCAAGGAGCAAGCAGGCTGTGAAGAGCTCCTCACCTTGCAGCCACACCTGAGGCCAGGTGGAGGAAGGTCCCTGTGCTGCAGCTTTTCCAGGGGATATTCGGGAATTCACTCTCCTAGGCTGTCAGTCTTGCACCTTTTAAGCAGCACTGAACTCACTCTATAAGGGAGTAAAGGGATTTCTCATTTCACTGATAACCTGGAGTCTGACTGAAAATAAAAGCCCCAAATGGAAAATCCTGACACTAAAGCTTCGAGCCCAACGTGCAAAGACTCAATCTGGCTAAACCAGTAAATTCCCTCACGGTAATTAAAGGCACTAATTGATTTGTGAAAACATCTTTGGGATGGGAGCTCAACTGGGGGGATTTACAAGCCCTGCTCCTAATCCCCAGGGACTCCAATCAGTCCAGTTTGACAGGGGAGCAGAGAGCTGCCATGGATGAATGAGGGGAGACTAAGATTTCTTATTTTGTATCTTTTCAAGGAAATACCAGAGCATTTAATGACCAATTTCTCCCTTTCTGAGCCCATTTCTCCAGGCTTCTGAGAGTTTGGGTATCACTTTGATGCCTTCCCCAACCAGGGCAAACGCTGCTCTCAGGCACCTTCATGTGAACCCTGTGAATTCACCAAAGCAGCATCAAGGGGGTGAAGAGAAAAAGGTATTCCTAACGAGGAGAAAGGCTCTTGGATAGGGCAGGGAGCAGGGTTCCTGGTGTGTTTCATCTCGAGACAGAGCCCTGGGGCTTTTAGGCACCATGGCCAAACAGGGAGTGCTTAGTCCTGAGGCATCGAGTCCATGAAGGCTGTGGGAAATGTAGGAATTTCAAGTCCATGAAGGCTGTGGGAAATGTAGGAATTTCAAGTCCATGAAGGCTGTGGGAAAGGTAGGAACTGCAGCTCACAAACTGTGACAGAATGAAATGGTTCACAGCTAAAAAGTTGCTAAAATCATGGTCAGGCTTTTGCCCACCGTAGCAAACTGCAAAGAAGCAGCTGCTCATCTGTGACCACCAAAGCCACCCCTCCCCAAATACACCTACAAACGGAATTTGGAGTGTGGAGAGAACCTGGGATAAGGTAAATGTGACACTATTGTCCAGTCCTCCCAGGTCTAGGGAGAAGAGTGTGAGACTGGAGGAGACACAGGGTGCTGGTGGCTCAGACACTCAGGGCAAGCTGCTGATGGGCAAAGCACCCACCCAGGAGCCAGGGCTGAGCACAGCCCAGCTTAGGCTGGTGCTGGCCCAGGTGAGGAGAGAGGGGAACCCAGGGAGGTGGGAACTTTGTCTCTGTCCTTATGGAGTGAACTCAGCTGTGATAACTCCCCACCCAGGGGACCCTGAAGGTGTTCATGCTGCTGATGGGCCATGATGGGACATAACTGACAATTTAATAGGCAGCTGTGTCTTCTGAGAAGCTGTCAAAGACTCCTGATCCTCGACTTTCCATCATCCAGCAGGAAACTGGGTGTTCCCACCTGAACCTGAGGACAAACCCAGCAGAGGTTGTGTTCTGGGGATTGTCTCCATCGTTTCTTTGGGATGCCCCTTGCCATCTGATGGATCCAGTTTGTGACCATCACTTCAACCAACAGACATCAAAATTGCAATGACCAAGTTTTGTGGAGCCTACGAGTGGAGCAGTCTTTCTACTCTCATTCTTTCCATTTCTTTCTTATGCATTTTCTTATGGGATATTTTTAGGCTTTTATATTTTCATATTGCTAGAGATAATAGCAAAAAAAATGGGGTGTAGCTGCTTTCCAAATTGTTCTAAAATAAATAAATACATACATAAACAAACAAACAAACCAACAATCAAACATTTATATAATATGTATATAAATGTATAAATATGTATTTACATAATATATATTTATATATAATATATATTTTTATATAATATATATTTATATATTATATAATTTTTATATATAATATATTATATAATTTTTATATATAATTTATATATATAATTTATATTATATATATATATTTATATTTATATATTTACAAAGACTGATCATTCAGTGTCGTTTCACTCTAATCCACCCTCTACTAGAGGGATCTATTAGCTCTGGGGAAGTATCTCTGCACAAATTCCTGGTGGACACAATGCTTGGAAATCAGTTTTCTACACCAAGGACCAAAGTTATCAGAGCAGTGCTCCTTTTAAAAAAACCATGGGAATTGTGAGAAGATTCCCATGGGATACTCACCTGAAGATGCTCCACTCAGGCTCGATCCTCAGGATGGTGGGATCCTCTACATACTCATAGTGAAGCTCCTGGTGGATCTTGGCCTTGTCCACTCTCACGGACACCTTCACCTTCTCAAAGCCTTCATAGGAGGCCGTGGTGTTACAGACAATGTGCTTGGTGGATCTCCTGGGAGGAGGAGAAAATGAACGTGAACCAGGTGCTACCAGCAGCAAAAATGGTGAGAAAAGATCCCAACTACTTATTCTTATGTCCTGTGTCCCAAACCTATGCACTGAAGAGGTGAAACTCAGTGTGAAACATTTATGTTCGTGTAGCAGTGTCTGGGGAAGTGGCATTACCTTTCCACTGGTTTAAATAAAACCACAAGAGCCCTCATCTCTCAGGACCCTGAGTAAAATCTGAACCCCAAGGGCAGTCCAAACAAGGCCTCTCTCCAGAAATATTTCTCTGTGATTAAATATTTGATGGATGTTTCCTTCCTGCCTGCAGACATGTGCAGCAGCAGCTCATAAAAGGGGTGTTTGCACCTCAGCTTTGCAGTCTGGGATCATAAAGTTTACTTCGCATTAGGACTGTAATTCTTGTTTAAGTGCAGTTTGCAGCCTGCCTGGTACCTTTGGAAGTGCTAATACAGTGGGCAGCATTTTATGATTATATTTAAAGAGGATTCTGCATAAACCTTTTCTTTTTGGCGGGGTCTAAAAATCAGCTCCAGGTCTGCATTACTTTCAAAATGCATCAAAAATCAAGGCACCACTTCTCAATCATCATATTCTCAATCTTCCCAGTCCTGTGATTTGTGATGCAGCCTCATCTCATACCCCTAAAATGGGGGTGTGAGTCACCTTCAATGACTGCACCCTCCAGGTGGCCTCTAAATTCCCCCAAAAGACAGTGCTCAATCCCTCCTAAAATTCCCCAGTCTTCAGCGAGCATCTCCAAGCAGCTGTGGCTCCCACTTGGCATTTCAAATCACAGACTGTGACTTCACCCTGCTGAATTTTGGATGCTGGATCGCTCCACAGTCATGACAGGCTGCTAAAGAGGATCCCCACAGCCAGGAGAGGGAAGGGCATTGCCCCAGGGCAGTGCTCCCAGGTCTCCTGTGAATGAGCGCTTCCTCTGCCAAGGACATATTTGGGAGAAATGTGCCAACTTCATCTTCAGCCCCCATCGCTACTGGCAGCAAAATGTGTTGCCCTGGGTAGTTTTGAGCTGTGGGAGCCTCTGGGAATGGGATTCAGCCTCATTCTCACAGGGATCAGGGAACATCCAGCAGGTAACACTGACATTAAGCCTCTCTGAAGCGCCATTGAACAGGAGCCAGCACAGAGCTAAAATGTTGCAAATCATCCATTTCTTAGCGCTACAGGACTATTCTGGGATAAAAGGGAGGTGGTTTAGTGCTTCGAACTGATGTTGTCAGATTTTCTTTGTCACCTCTACTAAAGCTGGGACATGAAAATGAATCTTTTAAACGACGCACTCCCAGAGCAAGTAGCAGAGCACAGGACCGTGGAGAATCGTACTGAAATTTGACAAGAGGCCACGGGAAAAAGCACATCAAATACCAGTCAAAACAATGAAATAAATCCTATTTTCTCTCCCCAAAACATGGCCAGCAAGGCTGTGCATGGTGCAGAATGCATAAGCCCTGTTGCAGCATAGACGTGGCCACGAGCAAAGGAGGCACTTGAGGGACAAGGTGTCAGGGCTGCAGGAGAAGTTTCCTAACTTTAATTAGAATTTAATCTTTCACACGTGGGCATGAGGAGCAGGAAGGGCTCATCTGTACCTGTAGAAGAGGCAGGGCTGTCGCCCAAAGGTCACAATGACGTTGCTGCCAGCGTTGAGGTTGTTGCCTGTGATTGTCACCTGGGTGCCACCCGACACCGGTCCTCGCTTTGGCTTCAGGTCAGAGAGGGTCAGAGTCTGTGGAGACAAAGGGAGGAGTTGGAAACCCAGCAGAGGAGCAGAGGGACCTTCCCTCTCCTGCTAGTGGTGGAGAGAGTGAGTCATCCCTAAGGATTAATTGGGGCTTCTGAGGCTGGCCATGTCTTCTGGCTGATAAAGGAGCCTGGGGTGACGCCAGTCCTGTCAGAGACCCTCTGCTCGAATGCCAGGTTTGGTGGGATGAGTTCAGACCCAACTCCAATCTGTTCTCACCCCTCCAGAATGTGATCTGCCCTTGTAGCCACTCAGAAATACTCCTGCAAAGACAGGCCCATGCCTGGAGCACCTTGGGTCCCAATCTCTCATCTCCACTGCTTGTTTGGCACAGCTCAGGGGTCTTTTTTCTGTCACACAACACCAGCTCTGCAGGATAAATCAGGTAGTGAACTGGTTTGATTGGATCTTAATGGGGAATCTCCACCTCCAAGCTGTGCAACTCACAAATGATGAAAATTGTTTGGTTTTGAAAAGATCACTCAACTTCATTGATTCTCAGAGTCTCAGAATGGTTTGGGTTGGAAGGGACCTTAAAGCCCATCCAGTGCCACCCCCAGCCATGGGCAGGGACACCTCCCACTACCCCAGGTTGCTCCTGGGAGCCTGTCCAACCTAGCACTGAACACTTCCAGGGATGAGGCACAGCTTCTTTGGCCTCACGACCCTCACAGGGAACAATTCCTTCCCAATATTCCATCTAACCCTGCCCTCTGGCAGTGGGAATCCATTCCCCCTTGGATGGAGGAGAGCTGTGGCTCAGCAAAACATCTGAGTTTGTTCTTGCCTCTCCCACATAGGATCCCAGAATCACTGAGGTGGGGAAAGACCTCCAAGATCATCGAGTCCAACCTGTGACCGATCCCCACTTGACAACCAGAACAGAGCACATCCAGATGTTCTTTGAACACCTCAAGGGATGGGACTCCACCCTGACACATGGTTGTGGTGCTCCTGTCAGTGTGTCCTCTGAAATGCCACAGCCACAAAAGCAGCACTGCCCATTTGAACACCTTTTTCCTTTTCCTGCTGATTTTCTGAGCCTCTTTTTCCAGCCTAACAGAGCACTGTGTTAATATATCAAAAAAGGGCACAATTCTTTTAGAGGCCCCAAATCTCAAACCTCTTTTTCTTAGCCCGCTATCCTCCTTTCTTCCCCAAATCAAGATAAAATACTCACACTCTGAAGGTACAGATCACCCTGTTACCACAATGCAGAGAGGAGACATCAATATTCAGGGAGAAATTTGGAGTTACAGTTTATTCTTTCATTTGCATTTTAATAGAAAAACTTTCCATTCAGTCCCAAGTGAAAAGCTACTATATGCATTTAAATGAAGATTATTTCTTTCCCCCTCTCTTTAAGAATGATGACACAAGTGCTTGAAGCTCTCAGCTCCTCTGAGCGAGCAGGTACATCACGCAGTCACCTTATTGAGCTTTGGAGACCATTAATCCATGTTTATAAAACCACCTGACACACACCACAGCTCCCACTCTCACACACACAGAGCCACCTCTGTTCCCAGGCCCCTCTGGTTTAATCATTTTGAAAAACAGCGGCAAGATTTCCATTTTTCCATTTTGCTCCTATTCAAAATGCAGCTCTTGGAGGAAGGGCAGAACATGAAAATCAGACTTACAGCTCTGTAGAAGGATCTATTGTCAGAGCTGGGCACTTCTTGTGTTTCAACCTTACTGGTTTTCACCGGATGGTTTGGAAGCTGGTTTTATACTTAGAATCATGGAATTTTTGAGGTTGGAAAAGACCCCTTAGATCAGCAAACCCAAGCATCAACCCAGCACTGCCAAAGCCACCACAGAAGCACCTCTCTAAGCACCTTGAACACTTCCAGGGGCAATGATTCCACTGCTTCCTTGGGCAGCCTGTGCCAGTGCTTGGCAACCTTTTCATCAAGGAATTTGCCCAATCTCCACCTTGAGGCTCTCCTGGCCCAGCCTGAGGCCGTTCCCTCTCCTCCTGTCCCTATTCCTGGGAGCAGAGCCCGACCCCCCCGGCTGTCCCCTCCTGGCAGAGAGTTGTGCAGAGCCAGAAATTCCCCCTGATCCCCCTTTTCTCCAGGCTGAGCCCCTTTCCCAGCTCCCTCAGCCACTCCAGACCCTTCTCCAGCTACATTCCCTTCACTGAGGAGTTCAAAACTGGATCCAGGATTTGAGATGGGGCCTCAGCAGTGCCCAGCTCTGGGGTGGGCACTGCCCTGGTCCTGCTGGCCACACTATTCCTGATACAATCCAGGTGCCATTGGCTTCTTGATTGTCAACCAGATCCTTTTCCACTGGGCAGCATTCCAGCCATTCTCCAAGCCTGTAGAATAATTTTCTGGGAATATTCTCTACCATTCTTTTTCAATGGGTTAAAAACCACAGGAAGAGTATGAAAATCCAAAGCATGCACTTCAGTACTGCTCCTTTATATTTTGGGTACCATCAAGCTCTGATGGCAACTCCCTTATTAAGAGACACCCTCACCAGTAAAAATTCCTGCTGACCATGGTGGCTGATGCTGGGAGGTGACCTCCCACCTGGGAGAAAATGGGTTTGGAATGGCCAGCCTGGGGCCCAAAGCCTACACAGCAGCACTGCAGCAGTATCTGATTCAAAAATCATAGAGGAACATTTGAGTTAAAGACCCAAAAGATCTTTGTCCCACCCCTGGGTGGGTTCCCTGCCCTCTCCCTGAGGTGGATAAAGCAGCCATGGCCTTTTGAAGATCCTCACAGGCCACAGCCACACCAGGAACGCTCCTTGACAGAGCTCTGCTGTGTCTGGAGCTGATCTCACAAATGGGTTTGTGGCTCAGATTTCAAAGTTGTGATCAACACTTAATTATTCACAGTGGCCTCTGTGAACACAACACAGCACATCCACAGAAGAACTCCAGACTATTCACCATGTCCTCGCTGCTGGAAGGTGCTGGAAAATTCCAAGAGAGTCTTGTGGATTGGTGAGAGGCTGGAAAGTGACAATGAGGGAAAAAGAACAGGAAATTTTGTGCATTTTATGGGATTTTACCTACTTTCCTCAGCTCCCCAACCCTTTCCTATCCAGCATCTCCTGCACACAGGTTTTCCACGGAGAAGCACCATCAGAGCTGGGCCTAAACTGCCCCCCATGGAGCTTGTCAAGACCTTGGTTCCCATTCCATTCCTCCTAGGAATGCAGGAAGAGCAAGACGTGACTCAAACACAGCTTGGGCACCTGGGTTTCCTTTCTAGAGGTTCCACAGTAACAGCAAGAGGGGAGAAGATGAAAGGAATGGATAAGAAATGCTCTCCAAAATAACAAGGATCTTAGCAGCAGACTTAGAAGAAATGTAGAGTAGTCGACAGCACCTGCACTGAGACATGATATTTTCATCTAAAGCCAGAATAAAGGTAAACTTTCCTCAGTACCTGAATTGAGAAGAACATGTAATATGTTTTTCATTGCAGGACTGGGGCAATAATCACAGCAAGAAAATGAATAACTGTAAAAAAATATATTTCATTTAGATCATCATAAATTTCATTTCAGCTTTGTTTCCCTCTTGGCTTATTGTACTTTCTAATGCAATTTGCAGGTTTTGATCACAGATGAGTTTAAAACAAATGAGCAGCTATTTGAATTTAAAAGTTCTGGTTAGAAAGGTGGAGAAGAACCATTCTGGCATCTCTAAACTCAGACACTTCTTTCTTAAAACTAAGAAATTATTAATTTTTTTATTATTATTTATTATTATTTATTATTTCATTTTAAGAAATGAAATACTCTATTGAGTCCAAGCCATCATCTCATTGAATTCTTGCAAGACAGGGAAAGGCTGAACCAATTGGCCAACTTTGACCATGTTTTCCTTCAAACCTCTCAAAAATCAATTTTCCAGGAGATTTGCCATGAGTCAGGAAGTGACATTTATCTCCCAGGTGATGCTTTTCCTTGGTTTTCAAACATCTTCTTTCCCTTCAAGCTGCCACGCGCCGCTGCAGGATGCCAAGGCACGTCGAGATTCCTGCAACAGCATCTCTGCCCTCCTGGCAGAAAAATCCGAGGAAGCCAAAAAAACACAGCTCCCACTGTGAAAGCACCGGACACGGGAGAGGGAATATGATGGGCAGGCTGGAGAGTTTCTGCATTTTTGGGGGGAGTTTTTAGTCTAGCACAAAGGTATCGAGGTATTCAGCAGAGAAAACCCTGGTGGCTTCGTGCTCGTGCCCTGGCAGCTGGGAAGGCGGCAAGCAGAGGGAAAAGCTGTCACAGATGGACACGGATGATCAAAACCAGACAGTAATTCCAAGAGTGGCAAAGGTGACACGTTGAAGTGTAATGTCCTGGAAAGAGCCCTTCTGGCTGCCTGGTAGGGGCTTTCTCTCAAGGTGTTTCTCTGCCCCCGCCACCGCAACACCTGAGTGACATCGGAAAATGCAGAGAACAGAGAAACTTGTGTAGCTCGAGGGGGGAATCCAAGACATTTGCATTCATTACAAGTTCCCTTTACCATAAAGAAATGCTCAGGCATGTGAATAATTTCAGAAGAGACCCATTCTCTTGCAGGAGTTGAGAGCTTTTGATGGGAACAAAGGGACCCTCTCATCTCAAACCTGCACAGATCTGAACAGATCAAGGCCAGACAATGCTTGCATGTCCCCAGCAAGGGGTCTTAGAGGAATAATCAGGTCTCTTGGACCTGGAACATCATCAGAAGGGAGGAAAAAAGCACCGGCTGAGTGTACAACATGTGTTTGCACTTGAACTGAAGCTGAAGCACGCAGGTGTCTCTCGTTTCATCACGGAGCATCCAAAACAGCTGCCCACCAGCACTGAGCCCCAGACACATCCTACAGCTCACCAGCAGCCTGAGGTGGATCTGTGCTGACCCCAGTGCTCCTGGTGTGGAGGGGATGAATAAACACCTGGGGCAATCCAAGAGGGAGAAGAAAGAAACTCAATCGAGACCATCACACTCATGCTCTGAAGATCCAGGGGTTGTTAGGAGTAGTGGCAACCCCCAAGTTTCTTCTGGAGGACACTGGTGGCTCCAGCCAGAGGGGTGTTGGTAGTAGGAGTATCACACTCAAGAAAAAATAAGATACTAGGAAATTTTTTCCCTTTTCTAGATCTTTTTTCTTTTCTTTCCTGTTCAGCACTTTTAACTATTAATGAGAATTTTCTGTATTAATTTGGACCACGGCTGCATGGAACTGTAACTGGACTAATAATCTGGACTATTATTAGGTTGTTAAAACTTTAATTAGACCGGCTATTTTTGCTGGGAACAAGATGTTAAAAGGAAATGGAATGAACAATTTGGTGCACCCAGAACGGCAGCGAAGAGCTCGGAGGCTCAACATGGTGACGGACAATGGACAGAGGGAGCAAAGAGGATCAAGGCCAAAGAGTTTAGGGCCACAGAGAACTTTTTTCAGGAACTTACCATGAAGTAGTAGAGCTGAGAAGACCTGGCCATGAACTCTGGCTTGCACTCGGCCACGCAGATTTCCACAAATCCGGCGTGCTGGCTGGGCTTGGCCTCCCCCATCTCACACACGATCCTGAGGGGAAAATATCAACCAGCAGAGTTTGAGGGATTGTTTGGTGGTGCTGGTAAGGTGGAATTGGAGCAAAGAGCCCACAGTGCTGGGGAATGGACTCTAAATTAACCCACTCTCTTCTGTCCCATCCAGAATCCAAGTTGTGGATTAAGTTATTCTTTAGAAAGTGGTGGATTCTGGTGGGGGCAAGTGTAAATCTACCTAAATACACACAGAAATGTTGGGCTGAGGTCTGGCTCTATCCATCTCAGATCTAGCTTGGCATGGTGGAGGCAGCTTTAAGGTTTAATGATCACTCCTGCATTTAGCAAGAGGTTTTTCAGGATTTCTGCCTTCCAAACTGGAATTGAACACCTTGAGGTGACTGCTTGGTGAAAACTGGGATAACTGCAGGGCATTTGCTGTGAGGATCACTTAAATATGCAATCCAAACAGTAATAACGGGATTATTAAATAAATGGATTATCCTGAGCTGTACGTGAGGAATGGCCTTTTCCATCCCTCGATTCCCAGGTTGGAATGGAGTCCTTGGAAGGCCCTGCAGGTAGGAATGGCATTAGGTGGCTTTGCTCTGCCACACACCCACTTACTGCTCTGCTGGGATGTACCCTTCCACCAGCGGCTTGCACTCCACACCGGCCACTTTGACGTGGGATGCGATATCCCGGAATTCCAGCCCCAGGTTCTCCCCACGGATGGTCACTTTGGTCCCGCCCTCACGAGGACCTGTCACGGGGTTGATCTGGGGAAACAAGCCAAGAGAGAGGGGAACAATCAAACCAGGCACCAGAATCCTCTCAGGTGAAAGAACAGACAGCTTTTGGGGATCACCAGGGGCACTTGTAAATGCTGAACAGGTGAGGAAACAAACCTACTTCAGATACTCAGAATATGCAAAATTCTGCCCCAGACCTCATTTACTCTCTTTTAACTACTTGCAAACCATCCAGAGGTGATGTAGGTAGGAGATTTTTTCTAGGCAGGAGCAGGGATTTGTGGAACTGCAGCTGAGCTCTGCACTTTGTAGACGTGAGCCATGGAAAGGCAGGAGAGGGACACGGTGGAGAGAAATGTGAGAAAGAAAAAGAGAAGGACATAAGCGGTTGAGCCAGTCACTTGAAATCCTAAATTCTCAGCCCAAAGCTCGTGGGGGTTTTTCTTTCTTCTAGAGGTAGGTAATGGTCATGCATCAGAAATTCAGCTGAAATTGTCCATCTGGAATAAAACAGGCCAAACCACAGCAGGAGCAGGGTGTTGGGTTAGGTGTGGAGGAGGTGGATGGTGATTGAGACGGCAGCAGCAGCTGCTCTGTGCCAGCACCTCTCCCTGAAAGAGCTCCAGTTTCCATCCTGGGAGAGCTGTTGGAAGAGCAGGCAGGGAGCATGGACAGATCATTTGTGGAGCCTCTGAATCTCAGCATGAGATGAGCGACCATCCCAACCTGGGGGTGCTGGAATGGTGTTTGCATCCTGGCCTGGCCCTGCACCAGACCCTCACAGAGTCTGATCTCCACCATCCTTGTCCAGAGCCAGGTGGGAATCAGCACTGGAACTGTCTCCTGAGCATTGGAACAACTCTGGAATTACCTTTAATTATCTCCATTCTCTGCCAGGTGGGAATCTGGGGCTGGCAGTGATGCCCTGCAGTAGCAGTTGGGCTGGCAGGGAAAGGCGAGGCACTGGTGTGAGCAGAGCTGCTCCCAAGCACTTCCCAGCCCCGAGCCTGGCACCAGGGTTGGTGTAATTCCCACCCAAAGGGCGATTTTTAGAAGGCACATCTTTAGTAAAAGGAGGGAGAGCCAGGCACCTCTGGGGGATATTTAATTTTAGGATATTAACTTTAGGATATTAACTGTAGGTGTTGCGAACCAAGTCCTCAGTGAGTGTGACTCATCTCTGACTCTATGGGGAACCAGGAGGTATTTGTGGTGGTTTTCCAGGGAAGTTAAAAAGAAAGGGAAAGAGGAAAGGGAAAGTCAGAAGGGCCTGGGATTCTCCCAGGTTCACATGGAAGATTTTTTAAATCCCATTTCATAGCTCTGTCATAGATTCAACCAGGAGGAAAGTGTTACCAGGTTGTTTTCACAACAGGAGAGGAGGAGTCTGTTCTATCACAGGTGAAAAACGTGGCACAAGACCTGTCTTGTTTTGGAGAGGAAAATCCAGGCAGAGAAACAAAAGCTGCCAGGAAGCTTCAGCTTCCTTTGGAAGACCTAGAGCTGCATCCCAATTTCCAGTCTCTTCTCATATCAACTGCTGCTTGTTGCTCCTAAAAGAGTTTTTTGTGGCTCAGCGAGTCTCTAAGTCCTTTAATTTCCCTGAGTGGCTCTGTTAATGCCAGAGCTGGTACAGAAATGGGGAGATGGGTGCTGGAGGGGGTGTGAGTGCCCCTACAAGTGTGACTACATGTGTTGTTCCTCCTCTTCCCTGCAGAGACCCAGCCCTGGCTCCTCTCCAGGCTCTGGATGCTCCTGCCCCACAGCTCCAGACCTGCCATTAGCTGCAATATATATCCAGTCACTTGAGATTATTTCCATGCTAATGGCTCAGAAAAAGGCCTTCCAAGAGCTACTTAGGATTGCAGCAGGCAGCTGGAATATTTCATGAGCGAGTGTTGCAATGATCTGTTGGAGCTCGGAGAGTTGTTGGAGGAAATGCCAGCAGAATCTGAAGCACTGCCCCTCTGGAACTGTAGGGTGGAGAATGGGCTTGTTTTTCAAAAAGAGCCTGGAGATGAAGGATTAGGGTTAAAATATGTCAGGGAAATGTGAGTGGACCTTCAGAACCTCTGCACGCCCAGGTCCTTGTGCTTTAGATTTCTGCTTTAGCTGATCATCCATCAGCTGCCCCATACCAAATTCTATCATTGTTTTACAATGTCTGAGAATCTGAAAATACTTTTTAAATGTTTCCCCCAGCTCCAAGCGATTTTTCAAGGCATCAAAGCTGAATTTGCAGGTGTAACTGTCCTTTCTGGCTGTCTGGGTTTGGTTTCACAGCTTCAGGTGGTTCAGGTGGGGTCAGAATTACCAGTCTCAAATAAATCCAAGAGATTCAGAGATTTAGAGACCTTCAGCTTGGAAACACCAGAATAAGCCATAAACATCAGAATAAACTGAACTCAAACAATTCAACTGAGAGAGAGCTTTGAAAGCTAGTGAATGACAGGGAGATGGATCAAAACACAGGGAAAGGGTTTATTTTCAGTAACATCTGGGAAAAGCAGATTCAACCTAGCCTTTGCTCCCCCAAAATGTTCAAGCAGAAATAGCAGTTTAGGGCTCTTCCATGACACCCACAGTTTTTGAATCTGAATCAAAAACAACTTAAAAAAGCCTTTCTTGCCTTCTAGGAAAATAACCCACCTAATTATTCCTATTAAAGGACCACTGTGGAGGCTGGATTGTCCTCTGTTGCAGTTCCCCATATCTTCCCTGTTTCACTTCTCTCTTGACTTTTCCCATTGGTAAATCAGGCCCTGGCCACACTGAAAGGTGCTCATGTTGAGTAAGGCCTGTGCTCAAGGCAGGAGGCAGCTGGAAGGGTTGGAGCCCTCATTTTGGAGGCTCAGGTCTGTCCTGCTGCCTGTCCTGTGACCCTGAAAATGTGCCTGGCATTATGGCAAAGGCATCCTAAGACAGCAGACAAAAATCCTTTTAGATTTCAGGCCTGACTTGCCTCCCCTGCCTTCTCTCCCTCCTTCTGCTCCTTGTCTTTATGGTTTTCCCATTCTCTGATTTCCTTTTTGAACATTTCCTCCAGCTTTTCCTTTGGCCCAGCCATCACAATCAATAGGGAACTTCCTGAAGAACGGTGTTATTCCTCAGGCCCTTCTCCCAGCCCTGTCCTCATTCTCTTTATCTCAACAGGGCAGTTCTCAACTTTTCCTACTCCAGGCTTGCTCCTGCCTCCTCCCTGAGCCTTCCAAGGGGACACCTGACAATTTTACAGGGCTTTATTTGCTCTGTGAAGACTTTTTTGACCTCGCAACATCAGCCAGGGGCAGGGCAAACAAAAGGGTTTAATCTGCTGGAGTCAGTGGAGGTTGTTTTTTTTTTCTGGACATGGCTTTGTCTGTGTCATGTTGCCAAAAAACATAAATTACACCTCCCCTCTAGCTTGATCTCCTGTCAGCAAGGCTCCAACCTCTCTGGGATCACTCAACACCTCCTTCTCAGCCAGGCTGACCAGAGAGGCTGCTCCAAGAGGCATTTGGGCTCCTTTGATTTACCCTCACACCGGCCATTGGAGATCTTGTCTCACCTTCAGATGTCTCTAGAAGGCCAAGGTCTCCTGAGGGATTGATGCCACATCTGCCAGCCCTTTTTGGGGCAGGTCAGGTGCTCTGGGGCTCCTCAGGTTGCACCAGCATCCCGTGTTTGGGGGTTATGATGGGAATTCTGATGCTCTCAGGTGTTAACCCAAGGTCACCCCTGAGCTGTGGACACGTGTTCCTGCCTTTGAAGCCACCATGGTCTCACATCCCCCAAGTGCCTGAGGCTTTTCCTGACCCAGCAGAGCTCAACCCTGACCTTCCCATCACCAACCCAACCCCAAATCAGGAAAACAACCCAAGGAGAGGGAATCCCCCAGCTTCCTGCGGATCCAACACTTACATCCGTGATCTTGGGGTTGGTGCACTTGCCCTTGGTGCTGGACAGCTCCAGCCACTGGCTGTCCTGGGCTGGGCAGTGCTGCTTCAGCGTGCACTGGTTCTGTCCCTGGCACCAGCCACACTCGAAGTCGGGGTCGGCTTTCAGGCAGAGTCCGCAGCTGTCCCGCATGGCCCCGCACTTGTACAGGTGAACTGCAGGGAGAGCAAAAACACAGGAGCTGAGAGAGGCAGACAGCACAGGAGAGTGGGGTGGCAGTGGGAGCAAGAGGGGAAAGTGTTCTGGGCTGCTCATGCCAGAGGCAGGATGGAAACCCTCCAGGGGGGTGAGTAATGGTGGGGGAGGAAACGTGGACGTCCTTCTTGAAATCAAGTTCATTCCTTAGTTCGTTCTTCATCAAAGGTGTTTTTGGAAGCTGAGAGCAGAAGGGAGGATGTTGCTCTCAGTATGTTGAGAGGAGGTTGGAGAAAATGGTGCTTGGGCAGTGATTTGGCCACAGTCCCTTCCTTTTTCACAGACTGAATATGTCACCAACAACCAACCTCAGACTCAGCACTTCATCCTAAAAGAATTTTCTAGACCTGGCCAACCCACAGCTCAAACTTGGGTGTGAAACTCTCCAGAATTTTGTGCTAAGGTGATGCCACTCAGGTTTCCCACTTGACAGAAATCCCAAAAGATAACAGTAAATGGTTCATTATGAGGCTGATTCCAGGGATTCACAAACAGCCTTTACCCCTTCTTCTGCTCCAGAAATTCAGTCTGCTTCCCACTTTGAAGCAGAGTTGATTCCACTCTAATACAGACAGCAGTGATTAATGCTTAGCTCCATTTTGGGCTGTTAAGTGATTAGAAGCACTCAGAGCTTTTTCTAATAAAGCCTAAAAATATTGAAGTCCTCCTACGAAATGAGATCATGTTATTTATCCTTGTTTTACGATGTAGACACTGAGGCCTGGCTTGCACAGGGGACTGATAGCAGAATTCTCCTCCTGGAAGATAAAGGTGGCAGAATCAAGGCTCTCAGACTTTTTTGTTTTCCTTCATTTGTGCGTATGTTGGGAGATTTTTCCTCTGTGCTTCTGTTTTTCTGTGTCCATAGGTGACTAAAGTGATTTTTATCTTTATACACAATCCCAGAGCTCAGAGGCTTTGGAAATATTTGTACTGAAAGCTCTGTCTCTCCATACCTTCCCCCGAGAAGTCAGCAAGTATTGGCCAAATGCAAGAAAAACTCAGAAACTCTTTATTTCTCCAGGGTGGGTGCAAGAAAAGTACCCAAAAGCACCCCAAAAAAGCCTGTAAAACATCTGTCAAGCACAGTTTTTTTTCCCAGACCTTGTGGGTTACACCTATTTCCTTAATTTTCTGTTGGATATCCGTAAATTTGCTGAGTTGTTCTGCTTGAGATGCTACCAGTGGGTACCTCTGTAGGTAATTCAGCAGGTTTGGGTCAGTTTAGCATTTCAGCCTCCCAGCCCAGCCCGTGGTGATGCTGGATGTGAAAGCAGTGGCATCTTGGTCACCTCATGAGAGTGTGGTATTGCTTCCATGTGGTATCTCTATGGGAACATGCTCAAACTCTCCTCCTGACCAAAAACATGATGATAATATCCAAATTACTCATCTGGGACAGCCACCAGCCAGTGCTGCAGATTTTTTTCCAGTCGTTATTTGCAACATTTTGGCTTGGAATAACCCAAGATTATTGGGTGCTACAGATGATTCTTGAGTTCATCCCCTGGTCTGTTTTATGTTACTGGCACAAACAGTCCAAAAATATGATCATCATATGATCATGTTTTATCACTTTTATTTAATCAAATATTAATTTAACTTTATTAATTTTACTCCCACATCACCTAGGGTAGCTCAGTGTGGCCCAAGAAAAGGATTTACACTTTTGGTGTGGACCATGTTGTTCCAGGGGTGCTCATTTTATGGTAGCACAAAACTAAGCAGGACAGGGGCAAGTGTCCAAATTCTGACCTCCAACCCACACTGTTAAAGGTTCTCACAGCCCCTGGCACTGTTTGGGCCCCTGGAAATCAGCAGTGTCTTGGAAACACCGTGGCATGGCTTGGAGAAAAGGAGACAGCTTCAGAGCAGAGGCAGGGTGGAAATTTCAGCACAGGCCCTGCCTGAGTGCCAGGGCTGGGCAGGAATCTCCAGCCTGTTGTGTTTGCTGAGTGGATTTAACCCTCAAAAGACAGAGTTTTGGGATTTTGGAGCCGGAACTCTGCCACTCAGAGGGGGAGAAGGGCAGATGGGGTTGTGCCATGGGGAGAAGAGTTGCCCTGTGCTGCTCTCCAGGTTCAACGTGGTGTTGGTGGGAACCTCAGCCTCGGTGTGGAACGGTGTGACAGCGCTGTGGGAGTATCTGACAGGGACAGATGGAGCGGGAGAAGGTGCAGGAAGTGTCCACAACAAGGCAGAGAGAGAGAGGGAGACATTTCTGAGAGGTGATGATGTGAGAAGAAGAGAATCTGCAGGTGTCAGCTGCAAATTCAGGGCAGCCAAGCGGAGGGGTTGCCTGGGGGGAAGATTCCAGGGTGGAAAGACAAGAAGGAAGAAGAAGATGTGAACTGACCATCCATCTCCAGGAACACCCAGCCTGCCTCAGGGTCGTGGCTGGATGTGCAGCCCCCTCTGCGAGGGACACATCAAACCTGTGCCATCGGTGGTGGTTAAACACAGATGGTTTTCAGCTCCTTTTTATCATTATCATTTTATTTTGCTCAGAATTCTCCCACTGGAGAGCTGCAGCCTTTCTGCTCCCCCTCTGCCTTCCCCTGCTCATTACTAAATTGCCTCTGAGCAGAGAGCCCGCTCTCCTGGCATGTTAACTTGAAGAGCATCACTGCAGGAGAAATAAAGAGGGGGAGACAAAGCTGAAGAAGGAAGGGCGTGAAAACCAGACACGAGGATGTGGGGAGAAGCGGGAGGGAGAGCAACACAAGTGGGAGGGAGAGTCGCATTTCTCAGGTGGAATTAGAGAACTGGAGGGCTGGGGGGAGGCATACAAAGCACTCAAAAATTGGTAATTTGCAGAGTGCAGAGAACAAGTGTGCAGCAGCCAGCACGGGGAGACGGTGGCGGCTTTGTTAAGTGTAGGGAGCGAGGGCCCGTTGCTAAGGTTACCGCTTCCAAGGACAAGTTGAAATAACTCTTTACCTTTGTTCTGTGCCGGGTTGTCAATGTTGAAATTCCCGTTCCACACGACTGTCAGCTCCACTGGCAGGCTGTTAATCTCCATCCCTTCGTACGAGTACTAGAAATGGGAGAGGAAAAACAAAACAAACAAAAAAAAAAGCCCCAAACCCAGAGTTAGAAAGTGCTTGGAGGTGGGGAGGGGATGGGATGAGGCAAGAGGGGGTGCAGAACATGGAGAGCAAGAGAAATGGAGCTGTCACCTCCCCAGTCAGCAGCACCTGCCAGAATGCCACAGGATGCTCCCAAAGCTGTGGGTCTCCAACTATGCCCCTCACAAAAGCCCATTATTAGGTGAATATTTGTAGAATCCCAGAAAGAGGATGGAAGGGAGTTCAAAGATCATCCAGTGCCACATCCTGCCATGTAGGAACACCTTCCACTACCCCAGGCTGCTCCAAGACCCATCCAGCCTGGCCTTGGACATTTCCAGGGATACAGGGGCAGCCACAGCTCCTCTGGGCAACCAGAGTTTCACAGCCAAAATATCTGATCTGAACCTTTCTTCAACTTAAAGCCACTCCCTCTTCTCCTATCACTTGGAAAAATCCATGATGTAAGAGGGTTTGCATGTGATGGGCCTTAACTTTGAAATCCGTTTTTTGGGTGTTGAGCACAGCTTTGAAAAGTATTTTTCCAAGTTGGGTGCAACTTTAGGGTGTAAATTACACATTCTGGGTCTTCCACCCAGCTGTGCCTCTGCTGTGTATTCCAAAGGTGCTGAGTGTGGAGGTGAGGTTGTTCACTCTAGGAATGTCTTGAAAAACTCTTGGAAGCTGAGTGAGGTCTCAAAATCAGGGGAAACCCCTTGAAAAAGGGGAAAATGGAGCCAGTGTGTAATTATAGACCTGTCAGCCTAACTTGGCTTCCCAGAAAGAAAGTACATCAAATTATTAAACAATCAATTTATAAGCACCTGCGAGATGATAAGGTGATAAAAATCAGCCAGCACAGATTTGTCAAGAACAAATTGTGTCAACCCAATCTAATTTCCTTTTTGACAGGCTTAATGACTTTGTGGATAAAGGGGAGGCAGCAGATGTGATTTATCCTGATTTCAGGAAAGTATTTGCTACTATCCTACAGCAGATCACCATAAACAAACCAGGGAAATATGACCTAAGAAAGGCCACCATAAGGTTTATGCAAAATCCATTAAACAAAAAAAAATCAGATAATTCCATGTCAGGCTGGGAGGGTGTTTCAAAAGGAATATTGTCCTGAGTCTGGCATTACTCAGTATTTTCACTACTGACTTGGATGATTTCATGACACTGTCCTGGAAGGGGATGTAAGAACCTCCAACAGCAGAGTTAAGAATTTAAAACAAAGTTGACAAATTGTAGAACTGGGCCAAAATCAACCAAATGAAATTCAATGCTGGCAAATGGGGACTATTTTTCAGTAGGAGGAATTGATGCAAACAACTCTGAAACTGGAGTGGCTGGGCAGTGCTGCAGGAGAGGGCCTGGGGACTGCTGGAGATCATGAACAGACTGTAAATCAACAATGCCATATTGCTGCCAAAACCCAAACAATTCTCATTTGGGGATGGAGCAGATAGAGTTTGTTACATGTGTAAACCCCAGGAGGCAATCACTTTTCCCTACTCAGAACCAGAAAAGTCTCAGCTGGAGCAAGGAGTATTCAGTTTCCAGCAAATATGTCTTAAAAAGCTGCAAGAAACTTCTGAGAGAGCTGGAGAGATTTAAACAAACGCTTGTCAAGGGAAGTCAAGGCACACAGAGGTGACCCCAACGAAGGAAATGGAAGCTGCTCTCTGGAGGCCCTCTCCACGAGGTGCTGAGAGCTTTTTTTACATCTAGATTTTGATTTATCTCAAGCCAGTTCACCCAGGGCTCACCCTGCTGCCCACCTCCATCAGCAGCTTCCACCCAACACCTCACCAAAAGGCAAAGAGCCTCAGGGTGGGAGAGGAGATGGTTGATTGAGGACAGAAGGGAGCAAGAAAGGAGGGGAGAAGCATCTTGTGTCTGCCTCTATTGCTGGGCACAGTGCACATCAGGATTTACCCTGCTAAGAGCAGGCATCTCCCACTGCACTGGGGTCTACAGCGGGACAAAGTCCCACTTTGAAAGGAAAAGATTTTCCCCACTACAAACCAACAAACTGGTTTGGCTGGGCCAAAAAATGTCACTAGAGAGTCCCCCATCCCTTAAAGCCCCTTTGTGGTTATCCACAGAGAGGCCAGAGCTCTGAGCTTTACAGGTGGGGTTTCCTCTATCCATTAATTGCTGTATAATTGCAGAGTAAATGGCAACTGGTGATTTCTATCCATTACAGCAGAGTGGGAGCTGCTTGCACAGCGATTCCTTTTTGCACAGACTAAACACAATTAGCCATTAATCTGCAAAACCTGTGATTATGATCCAGTTGTAGGGAATTTATGGGTATTTGTGGTTTCCATGGAGGTAAAGAGCAGCCCAGGTGAGCCAGGTCCTTTGCAGCAGAGCCGCCAGTCTCATTCAGGATTTGCATTTTTGTGACACTTTTGGGTGTCACTGCCAGCAAGATTCAAGATGAGCTGTCTGGACTCACACCACTGGCTGTTCCCAGCTCTGAAGAGCTGGGAGCAAGGATGGGGAGTCAGGAGTGGGAAGGAGAGTGCCTGAAGAGTGGTGAAAAATTAAACTTCTGCCACTCAGGAGCACCTGCTTTGCACAGGACTTTGAAAATGCTGATTGGGAATGGAAAATGGGATATATATGGAATTACTGGTCATCCTAAAGTCAGAAGATGAGTCTTAGAAAGGGCCTCACCAGAGCCTCGTGTGTGTTTTGGGATTTAGCTGGAAGCAGAGCCTAGACAGGGCTGCAGGGACAGGCATCTGGAATCTCCTGGAGCCTTTTTCCCATGGGAGATCCCAGCATCAGATGCAGGAGCTCAGCTGGGATTTTAGATCTTATCTGTCTGCAGCACCAGGGGCAAAGACATATTAGACTTTTTAACCCAGCAGGCTAGATCCAGACCTGGAAAGGGATGTGAGGGGATAAATCCCAGGGAAGAGCTCCGAGGATGAAGCCAGTTGGGATGAGGATGCTCACACTGCCCGACCCATCCGGTGCTGCGTGGACTGCACGGCAGCGAAACAGAGCAACCTGCAAAGGAACGGTGAGGAAATGCTCCGTCCTCCTCAGACCACAGGAGCTGCTCACTCATTGTGACCCCTCTTCAAAGCCCACTGAACTCAACAGGAGCCTTTGAAAAGGACTCACTCAGCCGTGACAATAAGATGGAAATGTGTTTCAGGGGAGAAAAAAGGCGCGGAGCATCGATCTCTGGGAGAGCAGAGCTTCCCGGACACCCCTGAGAGGTGTTCATACCATCAGGGCTTGTCTCTCCCCCTTCCCTTCCACAACTGCTCCAACATGGGCAAAACATCCCAGAAGGTGTAACTCTGACCCCTAAGTCTGACCAATCTGGATTTTAATCACAATCACCTCATCAAAGCGGAAAATTTTGGGCAATTTGGGGACCCAGCTGAGAAGGAAAGTCTGTGCTCCCTGGAACACAGACTGGCTCTCCTCAGGAAATGCCAAAAGAAAGCTGCTAGAAGGAGCTGTTGTAATTCACAGGAGCAATGTTTGGAACTCACAAATATCCTTTTTTTTTTTTTGCCTTTCAAACTCTCCAGTAGTATCAGATACTCCCACAGTCTGTGCAAATCCATATCCATGCCTGACCACTTGCAGCATCCTGCCCTTTGGTGATTTGGCTTAAGCACACTTAGGATGATAAATCCAGAGGGGTTTCATGGTATTTTCCCTTAGCACCTCAAATGGTGAGGAGACTTCTGCAGAATTTTAGCAGAATTTTAGTGTTGGTCTGATTTCTCTGACACCACTTTTGTGATTAGAGCTCAAATCCAGGGATTGATTCCTGCACTTGGCTCTTCCATCAACGCCTTGCACCATCCTGTGGAAATCATTTAATCTTTCTTTGCATCAAATTTCCAGCCATAAAAAGGCAGAAAACATCTTGCACACTGTCATTCTGCTTCCTTGGATCCTTTGCTTTCCAGAGCTGGGACTGAGTTTTTATAACTGGGTATCATCCAGCCCAACAGAGTCCATGTGATTATTGGGGTTTCTCTTTCATTTAAATGTAGATAAATACTAATTAGAGAAGGGGATGCACAAGTGTGACATTCCCAGTGGGAGGTTTGGAGCTGGATGATCTTTAAGATCCCTTCCAACCCAAACCATTCCCTGATTCTACCACTCTCAGTGTGCTTGTCTTTTGGCCACCCACAAGTGTGCTTTCCCATGATTTCTGTGAATAGCTCTTCATTTTTTTTCTCAGCTCTGCTTTTTATTGGATTTCTTTTTATTTTTTTTTCATCACTCCCTTCACTGTGAGCCACACCACGGAGTCAAATGCCACTGAGATCTCTTGCTAAAGTGCAATGATGTGACAAATAGAACAGACTTGCTCTCCTGTCCCTAAGCCACACAGCGCTTTCAGCTGCACCACCTCAGGTCTCAGCACACAGAACTGTGAAGAATTCCAAACAAAATCATCAGCAGGGATTTTGCTGATGGGAACCAGGGTGTGCCAAGGCCAGGGGTGGGCAGGAACCAAGCAAGGATGTGGGATCAGCTGCTGAAGCAGGTAATGGCAGTGATCATGGCATGCTCAGGTGGGTCAGCCCTCCCCATCTCCCTCTTCCTCATGCCAAAATCTGATAATTTTGGGCTGATTGCAAGTGCTGGGGCTCTCACTGTTTCCCACTGGGAAGATTGCACCCTGCCCTGATACATCCAGCAATTTCAGCCCTTCCTGCTGACATTTTTACTTACTTATTTATATGTCTGCTTAGCTCCCCTGCTTCTCATCCCCTCCCATCGCTCCATGTCCAGGCTGTTGGCAGAGCTATCACAAGTGCAATAAGGAATGGCAGGAAGGGTCCCTCTGAGTGATAATTGCATGCCTTGGGTGGTGTGACAGAGGACAAAGCCCAGAGCTCAGAGTCTCAAACCACTTGACAAGAACAAGAATCGTCCCGAATGGTGCTGCCTGCGGTTACTTATTGCTGTTATCAAATAAAATGTCTCTGGGAAAGGCAGGGAGAGAGGCAGATTCTGGCTCCTGACTGGGCTGAGCACCCAGGGACCGTCAGTGCTGGATGTGACATTACTGAACGACAGACTGGTCACACCCGGGTGTCATTAGAGCATCTTTAACTGCAGTTGGAGCCACTTAGAAAAGGTGCTTAAGCTGGCTCTGATCCCTGGTGTAAATCTTGAGGGATCAGGAAATGCAGACCAAAAAGTTAAGGCTCTTTTCCTGATCCTATCCCGTGAGAAAGTGGGAAAAATCCTGTTTTGCCAAAGTTTTTCTGCGAGAGGCAGAATGCCTCGAGCGAGATGGGAGGGGGCAGGTCTTGAGGCTCCTGCTGGAAAACAAGGCAGGACTGATTGCTTAGTCTAGCATGCAGCACCAACAGAAGGATCTGCTGGCAGGACAGCATCCCTCCAGGGACACACCATCACAGCACATCCTCCCACCCTCCCCTGGACCTTCTCCAAGCCTGCAATGCAGGTGCTACATTCAGTGCCTCCTCCAGCAACTCTGCTGAGTAAAAAAGCTCTGTCAGAGGGGGTTGGTTCGATTTGCAAACAGGCTCAAACAGCTCTTTCCAGAGCCAGGTGACCCCTGGAGCAGAGGCTCATTGTATTGCAGTGGCTCCTGCCTGAATGCTAATTCTGGCAGGGAAGGGAATAATCATGATGGAGACAGATCTCCAGTACCCCTTCCCATTGTCTGTGTCCTCTGCCACCTGCTCAAACAGCCAGGGCTTCTCTGCTGCCTTTTTCTATCTCTCTGAATGTTGCTTTCTTTTGTCTGGCTCTCCCTTCCACATCTCTTTCTCTCAGTGCCTGGCAAATTCCGAGTAACAATGAAATAACATTTCTCAGGGGAAAAAAAAAAAAAGAAAAAGAATAAGAAGGAGCTTAAATCAGAGAGTCAAAGCTCCTTCAAAAGGAAGGGGAAGAAAAGGGGAGGAAAGGAAAGACAAGAGAAGGAAAGGGGAGGACAGGAAAGACAAGGGAAGCAAAGAGAAGGAAAAAGGAAGAAAGCAAGAGAGAGGGAAAGGGGAGGGCAGAGGGAGAGAAGAGGCAGAAACAGGATAGAAAAGAGTTGATTTTATTCCCAAATGAGCCTCTATCCCTGGAGAAGAAAGAGATCCACCTGAGCCACCACCAAACACAGGACAAGCATCCTGCAGACAACACTCAGCAGTAAGGTCATGGAGCGCCTTGGCACGAGCCTGAAGCTCAGCCCTGCCACCCTCTGCTGCTCTGGCAGAGCCTGGAGTGTTCTGGCTTAGGAAAACAGACATTAAAGTCAAAATGGTGCTGTCACAGCACTCAGGCATCCTACCAGCAAATCCATCTGGGGACTCATCAAACCCCACTTCTCTGGTCCCAGGCATTGGCAACTTCTTGGAGCATGCAGGTAGTGTGGGAATAATCACCATTACCTGTCAAAACCAGTCTTTTATTGGGTTCTGCAAAGTGGCATGCTGAGGCTGGCTGAAGTTACCTTCCTGCTCAGCCCAACTATGCTTAAAACCACCCTGAGATAATTCATTGGAAAGCCTGTGTCTGCCAGAGAATTCGTGACTCTAAAGGGTCATTAAAGGTCTGTCTTGCCTACTGAGACTCTTTGGGCAGATATAATCTCTGCCCACGACCATACAATTCCCCCTTAGCTTCCACCATTTTAAATTAATACTTTAAAGAAAATGTGCATACCTCCTTAACTTCCCAGTCCTTCCATTCTTAACCTGAAACCTGAATGCTCACAGGTCATTAACCAGTAATGAAAATCAGGGAGAGGTGGGAGGGAGGGAGACAAAAAAAAAAAACAAATAAAAGAGCATCGGTTGGGAAGTTGCTTGTTTGCAACAGATGTAAAATGTGTGAACTGCCTGCAATCTTCAGCCCTGCTTAATGCAGCAGAATATGTTGTGACAAGCACTGCCCAGCGTGGAGTGGCAGAGCTGCAGTGAAGTGGCTGAAGCCTGTAATTAGCTCTTTGACTAATAAATCATCTCACAGTAGCAGCAATGAAAATGACTCAATGCATGTCCTGGAGACATGAATCTCGTGGAGAAACCTCCCGAGAAGCAGAGGCCTCCATTGCACCTGGGCACAGCTCCTGGCTGATGGCAGAGCAGGTTTGTCCCCAAAAGTGACTCACACAGGTTCCCTGCAAGGAGAGTCAAAGGTCCTGCACTTCAGGTGGGGAAGTGGAGGTGGGCAGAGGCTCCTCAAAGGGCATGTGAGGGCTGGAGGAAGGTTTGGCTCAGCCTAAGGCCAGGTTGGATGGGAATTGGAGCAACCTGGTCCAGTGCAAGGTGTTGGAACTGGATGACTTTCAAGATCCCTTTCAACCCAACCCATTCTGGGATTCTGTGTTCTCACCCTTTTTCTGCCCCATTACATGCTGGCACGTGTCAGACTGTTTATGTGGGGTTTTGTCATCAAAGTCCCCCAAAATAACCTCCACTCTCACACTGACACGAACACCTGTCCCCCTGGAACCCCTTTTAGTGGTGCTGTGGGGAAATGAGCAGGTTGAGCTGATATTGCTGCCTGTGGGTCATGGCTGAGGTGCTCCATTCCAGCCTGAGGATGGGATCCACCAGGAGTGGTGTTACCAGCCAGTCCAAGGAGAAAAAAGGGCAGTTTCAAGCTACCAGCCAATCTTTTCCTGCCTGTGTTTGGAACCACAGAATCGTGAAAGCTGGAAAAGACCTCCAAGATCATCAAGTCCAGCCTTTGATTGAAAACCCCGTGCCCACTAAACCATATTGTGAAGTGCCCTGTATACACCTCCTTAGAACACTTCCAGGAATGGTTACTCCACCACTGCCTCCATCCTATTTCAATATATATTCAATTTCAATGTTTAACCACTCTTCCAGTGGAAAAGTATTAATTTTTCTTAATATCCAACCTGAACCTCCCCCTGGCACAACTTGAGGCCATTTCCCCTTGTCCCATCACCAGTTGCCTGGTAGAAAAGTCAGACCCCAACTTCACCACAACCTCCAGGTGGTTCTAGAGAGCAATAAAATCTCCCTTGAGCCTTCTTTCCTCCAGACAAAACAACTCCAGCACCCTCGATTAAGAAGGGCTGTGACACGATCCCAGATCCCCTGGGGACGGTGCTGTGTGTCCCTCCGTGGCCCCGTGTCGTTCAGATTGGGAACGGCTAGGAAGAACGACACGGGACTCTCAAGGGAGTCACAACCCGAGAATTCCCTAGTTTATTGCTTCAGGCCTGTCTTATAGACAGATACGTGGAAAGTACAGAAAAGAAACTCTTATTGGTTAGCAAAGTGCTACATTACTATCACTGGTCAGGGGCACTCTGCCCCCCTGACTCTCTCCTGCAAGGAGAAACAAGAGGCTGCAAAACAACACCTGCAAGGCTGTTTAGTGTCCCTGAGAATTGTTTTAATTCCTTCTCATATTTTTCCCAGGATACTTTCTCAGGCAGCCTGAGGAGCTATGCGGCCTGCAATTTGTACAGGCACTGTGGTTCAGATTTAGCATCCATAGCCCCGTGCTCACCGAGGTGTTCTGGCACTGCACGCTGGAGCTGTTGAACCTCAAGGCCGGCACCCTCTGCTCGCTGCCCTGGATGTTCAGGATGCACTCGTAGCCCCGCTGGCCCGACTGTGGCTGGGGCAGGTTCTTGGCCTTCAGCGTGATGGGTTTGATCACCTCCACGGGCACCAGGATCTTCTCGGCCTGCAGCAGCTGGGGACAGTCCTGGGGAGAGAGCAGACAACTCACCAGGTCAGCACAAGCGTCCTGTGGTGCTTCCTGACCTTCTCAGTCCTCCTCATTACAAAGCATTTACAACTCCCTGGGCCTTGGTTTGCTACAGAGCTGTTCAAGGAGTATTCCTGGGAAGGCTCAGATAAACAGGAGAGGAAGGATTGCTTTCATAGACCATCCTTTCCTATCTCCCTGGCTTATTTCAGCCTCCAGGACCCAGGGAAGCCACCTCTGGTGCTTTTTAATACCTGCTCTGTTTATTCAGGTAATGGAAAAGCAATCATGTTCCCTCCACAGGCTTAACCCAGTCACAATGTCATGGTAAAAGCGAATAAAGCAAAAATCTGAGCACAATTCCTCACTTCCCAACAGCCAACACAGCACTGAACAAAAGGCACAGCTCCAGCAAGACCTGTTGGAACCTATGGAGTCAGGGTTGTTAAAAAGAGAGCTTATTTTGCCTCAGAAGATGACAAATTATTCATTACAGAGATCTAGACCCAGCTGCCAAGAAACAACTGTCACAAAAATTGTGGAGACCCCTTGGAAAAGCTTGGCTCCCAAAAGGAGAAATGCCAAGTGGATGTTGCTAATGTGGTGCCACTTCATGTGTCCCTCACACAGGCGAGCCCTGGACACCCAAAGGTGACTCACAGGTGGCTGCATTTAAAGTGACATTAATTAGCACAGCTTAATTAGTTAGAGTGGCCATGCTCTGCTTCTTCATAGCACAGTCAGACAACTGCAAGATGTCCCTTTCATGGGTTTTAGGACAATATCAGTTCTTTAGGAAATTACTGCAGCCTTTGCCTATCCTGGCCAAAGTTAAAGCCAGCTCTAGTTGGTGCCAGCAGAGACAGGGAACTGTAGGTGTGGGCAAGAGGAAAATGACTGATTCTGGGCAGGAAAGTAGGGAAAGGGACTGAAGGGCTCAAAAGTGGAAATTATGGCTTATTGAGAGCCTGGGATCTTGTTAGAGCAGATGGTGGGAGTATCTTACTGAAGCAAATAGCTTAGGGAGATAAAGAAATGGATTAGACGTGTAACATCTGTAGTTACACCAACCAGGGACAGAGTTATGAGAGCCAACAGCCACCACATGGAGGATGTGAGCTCATCCCTGGCCAGGGGCAGGGAGAAAATCCAGTAACCACCCAGTGCATCCCTGCAGTGAAGTCCAGAACCTTCCCCAGTCCCAAAGAGGATCTGAAGGTCTGTCCTAAGGGGGGGCTGAGGAGTCTGAGAGATGATTTTTCACCTGCACTTGCAGGGTGATGCTCATGGTGGAATTAACTGAGAGCTACTGAGGGGCTTCAGCTGGCCTTGCCCAGGCTGGCACCAGAACCAGGACAGCCAAGCACAGCCACTGGAGCTGGGTGGAGCTGAACCACCTTGGATCCAGTGGTTCTTTGCCTGAGATAATCTGGCACAAGGCCTGGCTTGATGCGTGCTGCCAAAGCTTAATAGGCCATCCCATTAACCTGGCTGGAAGGTGGGAGGATTGGAGGTGGAAAACCCATGGAGTGCTGCAATGCAGGGATGAACTTCACCACTGTCATGCTCTGCACTCTGGGGGTGGAGGATTGAGGAGCTGTAGCATGCTCCAGCACTCCCAGTCCTGCTGTTCTGTGATGAAACCTCTCCAGGGAACTCCTAACGCTGAAACACAATGGGTGAAGTGTCACAGAAGCATTTTCCTTGATAAAAGAGCAAGGCTTAACCATCTGGAAAGCCTTCCCAAGCTTGGGTTCAATGGTCCTACCATACCACGGCACACCAGCATTAAAGTTCCCTGCAGCGAATCACCACAAGAAAGTGAGGCATGATCTATAATTCTGCCTGATTCAAGAGAAATAAAAACCCCAAAGGACAGAAGAAGGAGGTGATTTAGGCTATATTAAAGAGTTTTCAGTACTGCTCACACCAGCAGATGCCCCATGCAAACAGCACTTGGGACCTTATGGCTTCAACACCCCTGACCCTTCCCCGTCACCTGCCCAACATGTCCTGGGGGTCTCTGCCTCAGCTTCCTCTCTTTCGCCTGGCACAAGAAAAGACCTTGGCAGCAGCCTCTCCATGTGGCTTTTTTTTTGTCCCCAGCTCCAGGAGTTGAGAGAGAGATGCACTGGCAGAGGGGATCAGTGGGGCAGGAGGGTGGGAAAGCCCTATCTGCCGCCGAGCAGCCGTTTCCCAGGAGTGGGCATTTCACTTGATGTCTGTCACAGAGAAAAGCCTCTGATGAGGGCTGCGGGATGCAGGTTGGAGATAGTCCACTCTGTTACCTGCAGGCCAATCCCAGCTCTTCAGCCTGGTCTTTCTTGTGTGGCTTTATCCTGTCCCCCTCCACCACTGGTGCTGTAACCTTTCTGATAACACTTGTTTCAAGTTCATTAACAAGCCGTGATTGAGGCAGCCCCAAAACAGGGTTCGTTTGCATATAAAAAGCTTTGCAGTGCTGTGAGGAAGTTCATTATAGATAATTGAAGAGGCAAGCGCCATAAAGAGGAAATCCTCCCAATGTGGCTTTATCTGATTGACCTAATGTTCTTTCTAATTGAAACGGGGAGGGGAAAAGGCAATTTCATTGGGTGATGTACTGCATAAAACCTCAGAGCTTGGACCGGGCTCTGGGTTCAGATTCAAACACAGAACTCATTTTGCAGCCTGTGTCAAGCTTTGGGTGCCTGGCCAGGTTTGTACTTTTGAGGGGAAAACATCAAGCTGACCAGAGCAGACCCAAGCAGAAGGCTCTGCAAAAGAGAGTTATTTTGGTCATTTTGTAGTGGAGGCACTTTCTCTTCACACTTCTTTGCTATGGACATCACCTAGGTTGGAAAAACACAGTTTTCACAGGATGTAGGGAAAATAAAATCATAGGCTGCCAACAACTGCACCAAGGACAGGCACAATCCCATCCCTTTTTGCCTTTAATATATAATAAATTAAATCTTTTGCCTGACTCCAAGGGGAGCTGATTCCAAATCCAGAGAATCATTGTTGATTCATTTTGTCTGTGTAGCTTCATTCTACTTCTTAAATGCTTTCAAATGAGTCAGTCCATTTAAAACAATACCCTCCACCCTTGCCAATTACTGGTATCAGCAGCGATGCACACCTCACATCACCAAAATTTTGCCAATTACCAAGTCAGAGAGCTTTTGCAGTGAAAACACTGCATGAAATGGGCTGTACTCGTTGGGTCGATGGTAGTTTAATTTTCTTTATTTATAACTCCTCATAGAGAGCCTGCAAATGTGTTTTGTTGTAGCTTGCAGGAATAATAAAGTCTCAGAAATATGAAGACCTTTTCTCTCACATGTGCGTTATGGCCTTCATCAGAACTGAGCCCGAGCCGGTCTCCAGTGAGAGCCATCATGAGGATGCTGCTAAAGAGATCGAGGAGGCCTCTCTGAGGCTGTGTGGTCTTAGCCCTGAGCTAATTAGTTTGGTTTCTTTATGGTGCTTCATACCTCCAGAGTTAGGATTTCATGGAGGTTTCACTGTGCTGTTTCCCAGTATAAGCTGGAGACCAAATACCCCGAGTTCCTCTCCTAGGAAAAGGCATGTTGGGCTGTTTCACAGCCTCGTGATACTGCAGGTTTTCTTCCAACCTTATTTTGAACAGTTTCACTCTCTGTTATTGTTTTTGACCAGGACTATGATACAAAGGGTCATCAAATTGTTTTCTAGCTTCCGGTAGAAAAGGAGTTTTATCTACCTTGGATGACAGGCATTCCATGTGGGAACAGAGAACACATCCACGAAGGTTTAATGCAATGAACCCCCCACCTATCAACATCCCCCACCTCACACTCATCTCCACTTGTGCATCTCTTGTCAGCCAGAGCATCCAGGGGAGGGAACCTTCCCGACTTTCCCTTCATACTGCTCCCACAAGATCCCAGCATTGGCTGGATCTCCACTGTCTATGGAAGGAAACTACAGCTCACCCAATGCTCAGGGTGTTGGGGGCACCACTGGCCAGATAAACTCAACCTTTGGCAATGGCTTTTCACCCTTCCTTTCCCAGAAGAGTGGGAGTCACCTCCATTCAGGAACACACCACTAATTCCTTCATTGCTCCTTCATTACTTCATTCCAGCACTGATTTTTGCTCAAAGCAATCAGTTCCTCTTTTCTTCTGCCATTAAAATTCGTTTCTTTATCCTCAACTTTACAGGGCTTTTTTAAGACTTTCCTTTCAATATCCCTCATGCAGCAACAATCTTTTCACATTATCCAAGGCATCTAGCCTGAAAAAAAAATGGCCATGCAGTGAATCTAAGTGGTGACCAAGATTGACTCACTCAGGCCCTTTGGGACCCCATAAGAAATGAAACTCAGAATGTTATTTACTCAGATATTACGTAAATAAATACATCTTTTGTTCATCTGCTCTGCCGAGCTGCAATGTTCTGTTTTCTCTGTGTTCCCTCTGGCCTTGTCACCCACCCACTCTGCTGTAATCAAGTCAAGAGGGTAAGAGTTGAGAGGCAGGGATTGGGTTTTTATTAAGATATCTAGACCACAGCATCTGGATGCTCTGTAAATTAAACTAGATTAAAAAAGCCATCAAAACAAAAACAGACTGAGGAAAGAGAAAGAAAAGGAAGGCAGGGAATGAGAAAAAGGAGAGGGAAAACATGCAATAAAGAGGCAAAACCCCCTAAGCTTTCATTGATTTTGGAGAAATCATATTTTGCCTTGATAAAACACAGGAAAAGAGCAAGTTTACAAATGAGAGGCAGCGGGGACTGCCTGGAATTTGTTTCCTGAAGTTGTCTCTCACACCTCTGCATGAACACACAGGGTCACCACCCTGTACTGCTGCAAACCCAGGGCTCCAGGGCTGCCAAGCTGGTTCCTTTTAAACTCCTGCACAGCTTCCCAGATCCTTCCCAGATCTGGGATAATCTGGAGAAGGAAGCAGCAAGGAGCTCACCATCCCCAGTGCAGGAGGAGAAGGGGTGAGTTACAGTCCACGCTGCGTT